CTGGCGTTTCGCAAGGATGTTGACGACATATCTCATCTGTTGTAACTAACATATTTACACGTAAACGACCAAAGTGTTTTCTTTTGATCGTCACTTTTGTTCATCCGGCCGTGAAACCCAAAAAAAATCCTCGGAAGGATGTTTACTGTTAGACGACCATCTAACCAAACAGGAAGGATGTCCGCTGATTTTAATCTGCAATAGATGACACTCAATTATGCAAATGATTTTTAAACCGTTTATAGGCATGTAGAAATGTTGAAATTATCGTTCATTTGCAATTCCATTAAAATTTCGATGTTTATTTTTCAATTGTTTCTCATATTATTAAATATATTTTTAAAAAAACCAATTGATTTTAATTTAGACGAACACACAAAACGAGTCATTGCACAATGAAAAATAGGAATCTGATGATTATGAGAGAACGGTAATTTTACACAAAACTAAAATTACCAATATAAGTTGTCTCTATTAACCAGTATATATATATATATAAATTCATTCAAATTTACTAATTTAATCTATCTCATAATTTTTATATTTTTAATTAACATAAAGAATAATTTATTTATGTATATCTAAAGATATATGCAATAAATTCTATTTGACGGGATATTCTTAAATGAAATGTTTCAAATATTAGTAAAAGTTACCTCACTGATGGGTTTTTTATCACTTCTGAGTAATACGATTATATCATCAGTTATCTATCGGGTGTGGTATATTTACATACAAATTTTTATACATCTTCTTTATTTGATTGACTCATTCATATAGTTTGTTTGATGAGACGTTGATGACATATTCTTCAATGTCGTTTGAAACAGCCATAAGAGTTACACCAAATAATTCAAAATATATTTTTCTTATATCCACATTGATTTTCACTCAGTGGTAGTGCAAGTCACCGGAAATATCTGAGTAAATTATAATCAATATAGTTTTTCTTTATAATTGGTCTAAGTGAGGAAATAAACTCTTCCTGTATTAACTCTCAAAAGCGATTGAATCAAATTTAACGGTTGTTTTTTTTTTTAATTTTTCATTTTTAGAACTCTGATCGTTAACAAAGTAAAATTATTGATGATCAAATAACTGTTTCAAATGATCAAACACTAACACTGTTGGCTCAGAGAAACGACAAAAATAACACGTACAATTAAAAAAAATTCAGGAAACATTATACCATTAATTAATAAATCATTGTTAAACTTCGACGATACCTTAGAAAACATAAACTGATTATTATTTTATAGTATTTCAAATGAAAATAAAACATTAGCTAGTGATCTCTGCAATATAACAAAAATAAAATCTTGTGTAAAAAACTATTACATTTTTTAAAATGATTACAGCTAAAACGAGTATTATTAAAAAGTAAAGCCCACACATTATTATGAGAATGAAGGAGTACCAAGTTAATTGTTGAGTAATTTCGCATTTTCGCAATCAAATAGACACATGCATTTTTTGTGAAATTCTGTTATGGTAATGTATTCAGTTTTTAGCGTTAATTTATTTTTACGATTTTTATGCAGTTATTTACCTGGAATCTATTATGCATTTCTTTTAAAAAATGTTGTAAGGTGTTTACTACAACAGCTTTATGTAGGTGATGTCAAACGAATAAATCCATTTTTCTATTAGAAATACTATTAGAATTATTTGACATGTAGTGTACTACAAGGACATATAGAACCCATTTAAAATCAAGATTTTCAATTACTTGTTACTCGATTCCATTGCAAGTGTTTAATAAAATACGGTAGAGATAAGTAATTACTTAATGTTATATAACTGAATGTTTTATAAACAAAATTAATAAAACAAGAAAATTCTTCAACATTTTGATTGGGTTTAAGTTTAACGCTCTCGTTATTATTTTATTTCACTTTTGAATAAAAAAAACCTGTTCAAATTTCTCAACAGTAAATTTAAATAACAAAAATAAAGAAATGTTTATATTAATTGAGTATATTTATTTTAGTACCCACATGAAGACTTGGTATTTACTAATTAATGGATTATCATGGAATAATTTCCGCTTTTAAATTTTTGTTTTTTTTTTTATGATTATTTATTTTGACGCTGTCTTATATAATAAACGCTATTAAGTTAATCAGAATTTTAAATGCGTTTTATTCCTCGTCTCTACAACATAATGTAATTCGAATACATAATTTAGTGCACACTTGTTGAATTTTTTGTTGTTCTGAAATCATGATAATAAGTAATTACGTTTCTCCACTCTTACATCTTATGATTGTTTCCATCTCACCGAGAATACCAACAATTTGGATGCACTCGAACACATTGCTTAATTTTCGACCGCTAGTTCAAGCTTTCTTCTTTGTGTACCTATTATATTTCTCTTTCAATCCATTTGGCGCGCACAAACTCCCACGCTAAACTACAAAAGACCACATTCCGAAAAAATAAAATTGTTCACAACATACTCATTGCAGAATTTATTCAAACGAATTATTCTATGATAAATAACTATTCAAAATATTAAATATCCATTTAAATAACACATAATGACCACACGGGAACTTTTACACTCCTTACCCCCTTAATGACTCGTTCAGCCATAAATGAGGTTGCCACAGGTCGACACCGGTATAGCAATCCTGTCAGATAATAATTATAAATTATTTAAGGCTCTGCCTTACAATTATTGTAAGGAAGATCCGATCCCAAATAGTTTGTATGGAGGATAAGGAGATGATGACGATAAACATATAAGTAACCTTGTAACACAATTTTAATAAACATTTCTTTTAAATTAACATGTTCTTCGTTTATTCTTTTAACTGCGGCATATCGTTTTTTTTTTCCTCAGAATAATTTTAACGTTATGGATGAATGTTATTTTCGTGCGATGATATATGAATTGTTTGTATGGCCCACAATATCGATAAATCGTCATTCCAAACGAAAGAGTCAGCGGAAAGGTCTAATTTTCAACATGGGTGGAATACACCGACAACGTGCCAATAAAGACAGCTAAGACATTGCGTGGGCGCCATTTAAACTTTCTATGCAGTCTAAAAATGCTTAGCATAAAGACAAACTAAGACAACAACAACAACAATAAGAGAAATAATAATACGAACACAACACTGAAGGTTATCGGTTGATTATTTTGATAATTATTGACCTTTAGTACACCGACTCGAATGCGCAGCTTCAGCCGTCTTCATAATCGCTTCCAGCGACTTGATCGTGGAAACGTGAACGTGTTATAAAATATGGATGTCTAATGTACAGGATTTAACCTCATAAAATTTAACGAATAGATTTCTCGGTAACAGAATTATTGGCGTCGAAGGTGTCGGTGGAGAATGTTTTCGATTTGGTATTTAATTAAATTAAAAACTGTAAATATAACTTCTGGTATGTTTTATTTGGAAACTATGCATATATTAAAATCACAAAAAAAAAAAATATTCAATACCTATACAATTGAAAACAAGTATTAATACGACAGCTTACTAAATGCTGTTTTCATAAGTTTAATCAAGCCCCATTTTTCCTCTTTAATAATACTTAATAGTATTTAGTTAGAAATCAATTTACTGTTTTGAAAACGATTGGCTCAAAACGGAATAATGTACTCTTAGCCAACTCGACAAATCACTTAATGATGTTCTTTAAATTGAATTTCCTATCAAAATATCTCGACCGTACACACTATTATGTGTGTTTCGTTTCACTCATTGTTTCATTAATCTAACAATTTTCTTCTTTCTTTCTTAAAATTCAACTCGTTATCTTTAATCAAATCGAGCGACTTAATGCATTACACGGTAAAAGACACAAATGTACGCATTTGTCGTCAATTAAATACACTAACCTTTTGTTGAATTAATTATAGAAAATAATGTTGTGTTTTATTTAAATTAAATTCCATTGCAATTGACATTACAAATGGAATATGATGAAAATTAACCCTGGACCAATTTCGTAAATAATAATTAGTATAACATTTTCCGCCAATAACTGAAAATTAAGTACTACATCTATTTTATAGATAATGTAAAATCATATTTTTCTTATCAACGTTTGTTTGTTAGCGGAATTCAATGCGATTTTTTACAGCTTACATCGAGTAACTTTGAATAGAATTTGGTGATCTATATATTTTGAACTGAAATGATTTTTTAAGTAGACGCCCAGATTCGATACGACTACCTCAATTTTCGATGGAATGTTTTTTGTGACAACAAATATCAGTGAAGATCTAACACGAACTCGATCAAGTTTTCATTTCTGTTGCCGAATAGAAAATACCTTTAATCGATACATTGCTACAAAAATAAATGGAAAGTTAAATGACAGTCGTTTTGGACTTGTTCGTTATAATTTAAGATCTAACTCTTTGTATTATAATTTATTCGCATTTATAGATCATTTTACCGGTCGCTAAATACTGACTGTGTCGCGTTGAAATCGATTAGGACGTTATTTTTAGCAACTCGTAACGAGACACATTCCGATTGCGTCTAATCACTTTGATAAATAGAACTTATTATTGTGACGAGCAGTTAAACGATTTATTTGTGCGTTTCAGTGAAAGCGTTTACGGTGTCGAGGAAGCAAAAATGAAAAAAAGGAAGGCGTTTGTCGTTATCACCACGGCGGTTAAATCAGTGTGTCGTAACCGGCCGGCGGCGTATTCGGACGGTGGTAAATTGCCGCCGTTCGGTAGACGGGACACACGACGGTGGGGGCGTACGGTTTTTCAATGCCGGGCCGCTGTGACCTTGCAAAAGAAAGCTGTTCTCTTCGTAACAAATGAAAGTGGTTTTCACCTTTGTCCGTATTGGTGTGCGCGCGCGCTCGCGTGTCTCTGTGTGTACGTTCTACCCGCGCGCTTCCTCCGGTTGCGGCGACTCCAACAGACGGCGCTGGTCGACTCTCTGCTGTCGTCCGCTGCTATCTTCTCCGTGCTGCCTCCCGGTGGAGGGGATATCCGAACGCATACACCTCCAACACGGCGCGGTATCGGTTTGCGTCCGGCCACCGGTCTCAGCAGCAAGTTCAGTCAGATCCGACCGCCCGCGCCGCGATGCTGGCCCGCAACCACTTACCCTCCCCTTTTGTTCGTACGTCTCGATCGCTTTAACTGTTCATTTTTTTATTCGAATAGTGCCGCAAATTGCTGGAAACGTAATCAATAAAAAATAATTAACCTAATCATAGGAATAAAAATTATAATAGTGTAATTTGATGTATTTCTAACTAATTAATCTAGTGTACTTATGCTTTGAACGTGGTTAGGTAAATTTTTCCAAGACTACCACCGACTGACTCTGCTGCAATACCGTCAAGATGAAACGAATGTTATCAAGGTATAAACGTAGACTTGTGTTTTGAAATATTTAGTATCATTTAAAAAACATTCTCTAGGGTAGTCAAATGATTTATAATGGTATAAAATGTTTCTTTTTCTAAAAAAACAAATTTTTATTTAAAAAATCGATTTTTTTTTTCTCGTGACATCTTTATAAGATCTTACATAAAGAAAAATTGTGCAAAAACAATATAAAATATATTTTTATATTTACAGTCTTAATTATAAAAACTTTTTAAATAGAGCTGCGGATAAAATCGACTACGGCTATTAAATTTTATTTTTTTTAATTAAAAATTTCGCTATGGCAGAAAACGCTAACAATAGTTTTCTTTGGTGACATTCGTTCAATAACAAATGTTTTAAAGTTTCCATTGAAACTGTAAGAACCATATTCCCGTAGATTTTTTTTATAATATACACGATATCATGAAAACCATTTTGAATCATAACCGTTTAACTTTGGATTTGTCTAAAAGGTTCATAAAGATTTTGGACGAATTTTAATGATTAAAGTACATATATATATATATATGTATATAAAGACATACCACTCAATTTATCGATGTTATGTATTATTTTTAAAAACACTAAATTTTCATATGGACAAACATATAAAAGTAAAATAAAATATGCTGNATGGACAAACATATAAAAGTAAAATAAAATATGCTGAGTCTTAGACAATAAATTCATCAAAGTTTATTATTTTTCTTATTAAATGTTCATTTTTGAATAAATTGATAAATTTTAATTTTAAAAATGCTCAAGAGATTTCACTCTTTTAAGTAGCTACTCGAACTTCTCCTTTTATATGATTGTAGTAATAGACGTTCAGAAAATTCATTTTCTAAACAATTACAAAAAATAAAAGCATTTAAAGGTCTACAAGATGACACAAATTTTAAATATACTTTGAAATGTGATCAGTGCACTTCTGTTCTATTATCGTGTACAGTAAATTAATTACATGTTGTTGTTGTCCAGATGGTTGTCAGTGGTGTTAATGATTGCCATTACGTTGCCTTTGCAAAAATGTGAAGACTTAAAACAAGATGCTAGTAATACAACGGCGTCGTCGACGATGACTACGTCTAAAGCCATAGTGTCCATTACCGAAACGGCGGCCACCGCATGGACAACGGACGCTGATTACGGAATGACGTTATCGCCAAACGAAACGTTTGTGGGCAAACCGAGTAAGTTTGACGAGCACGTGGAAGAATGGCAATATGTGGACAGTCCACTATGGAATGCCACCGCGGAGTCAGGAAATTATACGTCCAACGTTCTCTCTCCACCACCCGCACCACCTTGCAAAACGTGCGCCATCAAACCCCGCGACAAACGTCACCAAGACAGGCCGTCCAAATCGAAATTCGCCACAATCCCGGCACACAAAGCCATTGCCACCGGCGTTAAATCGGCATATCGCCTAAAACGTATCCGACGTTCAGCCGTCGCATTCCCATCGGCTACTGGCGCTGACATGACCTATCCATCGCCGGCCGCATATCGGCGTCGTCACCGGTATCGGTACTACGAACCATCGCAACACCCAGCCGTGACGGCCTGGGATCGAAACGCCGATTTTCGCCGTCGATACCTCAGATTTCCACCCACGCACGACGCTCCACCGCCGCCGCCTTCGTTCAGCGGCTGGGCTCCCTCAGGACCATCGGTTTTAGGGCCGGTGCCTCAATCACCATACGCCTTCCATCATTCCCCTCAACCAGCCATGGGACCCAGGAGTCCAAGACTCGTATTCCGCGACCCCGTGGATTCTGGTACTCTTCAAGCGCCATTCGGTCCCCCCAGCGGACTCCAAGACCTGTTGATATCGCCAGCTGACGAAGGAATCAAAGGTAAGGTTCAAAACACGTTATTGAAATCAATGTGATAAATTAGACTTTTTTAAACTAATACTATTGCATTACTGTATGGCGACGCACTCGGAGAAAGGTAGAAAATCAATCGTGTCTTTTACCGGTTTATCCCGTTTTACGTACAGGGTATTAACAACGATTATACAACAACGATGTGTAATAGTGTAATCACTTCAGACGATATCTAACATTGTACGGCTGTGTCGTTTACACTATTAACCGTCGAGCGACTACTACTAGTAGAGCAGTGTACCGGTATGCCAGCTGATGTCACGGTTAGGTTACTGGCACGTGGTTACAGTGCTACAGGTTAACGGAATACATGTATTATGACGACGACGACGATGCTAGCGGTTGAACAGACTAAAAAATGAACTGACACTCGATTTCCCGCACTATAAAAATGACGACGATTTCGCTTTCGCTTCTTAATAATAACAACAATAATAATAATAGTTGTCGTACGCCTAACGTTTATGGTGCGACTCGAACGCTTTCGGTTCTGGACACGATTTCATCGCCGAAGCGATTGGCTTAAAAAACAATTCACGACCGCGGATATTGTCTTTCGGACCGTGGTCGTGGTTTGTGCGTAAAAGAATATTAAGCTCGCAGTACGATCTCGACGAAAAAAAACAAAATAGTAACTTTTTTCTCGTGACCGCTTAAATGAATAACACGTTAAACTATTTTTTAAAGCCGTGAAATTAATTTCCGTTTCGAGTTTTTACAACTCCGTGTAACTAAATCAAATGGGCACGAACTAACTATTTTGTTCAATTTGGACTTGTAAACCGTGGCACGGCAAAGCATCACAGTATAATTTATTAGCACAAGCATGTCAAAAAACAGCCGGTGGTGAACTTAAACTAGACGACAAAACAAAATAGCCTTTGAAAAGCTTCTTTGTCGTTGTTTAGAGTAGAACGTAACTTCCTATTATTGACTAGCTACTACATTAGACTGCGAACGACTTTTACATTTTAATGGCTCTTATTATGTTTTAGAACAATACTTTTGATGAAAATTACACCGCTTGCACTAAACATTACATGTAGTTAGTAGATATAAAAAGAGCTGTACAATCTGATCGTGATGTCTTTGTTTAATCGCATAAAATTACTTATCCAACGGGGGTGGTGTTCAGAGGTCCTTCATGTCATACACGTCTTTTGTTGGACGCATTACGAAGATAATGGTCATAATTATGGACCGAGTCAAACGGGTATTCGAAGCGACCGATAGCAATAAACACCTGGGGAGGGGGAGGGGGGCAAAGCAACGGTTTCGAACGACTCACCCCGTGCACAAGAGTTATTTTGTTTGGGCATACGAGATTTTTGACCCCACCGAACCACTTCGGTGGTAGCAACCCGCGACCTTGAGATTCCTCGGACGTCTTTTGTGTTTAGAGTGTCAACGCACCACAGCCCCGCCGCGCATTACGCGTCAAAGCCCACCACACAATACTAACGTTAATTATTCCCGTCGTCGTCATCACCTGTAGCTGTTACTTTACTCGAGTTTTGTTTATCTTTCTCGTCGCGTACACTCCTATGGCCAACAGAGGTGAGTTTCCGAGTGCGTACGTTGCCCACGGGACACGCACAGGCAGTCGAACAACGTCGCATTATGTCACGCGCGTCCGTCCGACGGGTCGGGTGCAACAGTCGTTAATCACCGTAGGGACAGTCCTTTCTCTAGGCGGGTACAAAAAAAAAACCACAAACCTTTCTCGTTTTACATTGCGCGCCGACCACCGAATCAAAACTCCTACACACTACACTCCATTTGACCGAGTGGTCGTACAATCTCGCACACGTGTTGTAAACTCTTCCGACCGAAACCTGAACAGACGGTTTCTATAACCACCGCGCGACAGACTTGTATTACCGACAAACACGCGCGCGCATACAAGTATTTGACTGGCCCGCGCTAGGGTGTCCCTATCCTAACCCCCCGTAACTTGTAATGAATACTCAAGACTCTATGTTTGTGTGTGCCCGTGTGTGCGGATGATGTTCGCAGATGGATGGGTGGACCCGGACGTTACAGAGGGCAAACGAAACAAACCGTGTGCCACGGGAAGCTGCGAGTTCTTGCTCACTTGCTGGATGGCTTCCGGGTACATCGAGAGCACCTGCGGCGGCTTCCTGTACGTCTGTTGTGACCGAAATTCCGCCAAACAACAAAACGACAATTTCGCTATCAATACTAACAGAGCATCGGTACCGGTCGACTACGGTCCAGTGACTAACGATCCCAGTAAGTCCCAAACAGTCCTTTTGTACCCATACGGTATAAATATTGTATTACATTACTTGCCAACAATACTCACGCATAACAATAATAATACACGATCATAATATACGTACAAAGATACTGTTGTATCTTCGACTATAACACTCATTACACATGTATATTTATGTGAGCGTAACAATCATTAACTAACGCTTTGTATGCACCTGTACCATCATCACAATACCATCACTGCGATTGTTTTTTTCAATCCTGTCACGAATGGCTTGACTCCTCCATAAAAAACAATTAACACGATCAGAAAAAAACCTCTCTAATTTCGTACACGCCGTGTAATGCAACTTCAACCATGTTCACTGTTTTCTTTCCGTACACGACCGTAAATTGTGTTGGGTGTCCTCCGTCAGCACACCGAGGGGAGGCGCAGTTATGCGTCACTCATGATTTACCATATGACGTGCGTGTTTACTTCCTGAACGGCACCACTCACACGACCGCGGGCAATTTTGTACGATATCGAATCAACCTTATATAAATATCCACAACTCCTTTCACTCATCATAATGAAATCATAAATTAACGGTCCACGGATCTTTGGTTTTTCGAAATCTATTTTGAAGAATGTTTTCATTACTAATTACTATCACCTGTTGTAGTCTCGGCAGCCAACGATTTTTTATAAAATTGTTGCGACTACTTCAACAATAAAGAGACATAGTAATCGAGAATGAGTAAATTAATTTATGTGAATATTCAACTTTTCAATTATCGACTAGGGCCGCGATCCAATAATTATGGTTTTTAATTATTTTAGTAATTTATGGGCAAATATGAATCGTTTTGAAACCTAAAAATTTTAAATATCACAAACCGAACATAGTGTCATAAGCATATTTTATTCTTACTTTTTAACCATTTAGTAAATTATTTTTTAGAAATAAGAAAAAATCCGAATTTCACTAGTAAAAATATATATATGTCTAATGTACACAATCATTTTTTTAACATTAGCCACTTGATTTCTCATAAACTAAAAAATATACTATTCTTTTTAGTAATTATTAATTTTTAAACATTTTTTTAATTCGTTCTTTATACTTTATAAAGGTATTAAATTAATATTTTTATGTAAAAACATACTATTTAACTAGTTTATACAATAAAAAATTAAGATAATGACTGGTCGATAATAACTTTTGAAATAGTACTTCGGAAGTTATAAATATTTTTAAATATAAAGTGGAGGAAAATGGCGACCTAATGATGAAAAAAGGCTATATAGTAAATCATAAACTTTTTGAACTATAAGAGTTCTGGTCATTTTATAAGGACATACAAATTGAGTTCTCAAAAAACATTTTTTTATGATTTCCTGAATCCCACTAAATAATTAAGTTTATACGTTACTACTATTATTTAGTAATTAAGAACTTTTAACAAATACATTTCCAATAATTAATTAATTATTAAAGGCTTGCGGGTAAAAAATGAAATTATAAACTTTATACGTATTTAAATCTTAAAACTTCACATATTTAAAACTTTTTAATATTTTCTATTATTTCATTTTCTTTTTCAACTATGTCATCCATTCAACAAATTATATAAGCACTTCTCACTTTCATTTGTGTGTTGTATTGCACGTTTAATAAAATATTTATAAATTGATGTTTAGATAGGCTGAACAAAACATAAAATTGAATTTAGATTAGGAATACTCACAATTATTTATGGTTCTCGCCAATGAATTTTTAAACAAGGCCCACGAGGTTAGAAGAAAATTCGAACTTTTGTAAGTGTAATTTTGAAAATAAAATCAATAAAATATTGTACTCGAGAATCTTGAGGTAAAAAAGACATTAATTTATCGGTAAAACAATTATCAACATTTTAAGGATATATAAAAGGAAGCCCGGAAAATAATTTTAAATATTTAACTAACTTTTATTTTTATTTTCTATACTAAGACCCAATTATTAAATTTGTCTACACTATGCTCTAAATAATTGATTTGGGTAGCTTTTAAATGTCTTATCAATGTATATAATATGCCACGTAAATAAAATTTTGAAATTAATGACAAACTATTATATTATAAGTCGTACTTTATTATTTATAAGTAAAATTTGTTCATTTTTATTTGTAATTGGAATTAATCAGACATTCGTGTTCATCAAATAGGTTTTTCGATAATTGTGACATTTTGGAAGTTCTAGCATTTCGTATATACTTTGAATTAACTTAAATAGTTAATGTATTTACATAATTTTATCTGAGATTTTTATAAATTATTTTAATAGGTCAATTGGATGATCAAAAGCTTGCGTTTCAATCTATTGTTTATTTGTTATTTATTCATTAAAGATTAATTTGGTTGTCCGTTATTATGATTTATTGACTTATCAACTATTCATTAAATTCGTTTAATTTAAAAAATGGCTTACAGTTACTTTTACAAGTTTAGCGTTGTAGGTTATTAGACAAATTTTTGTGAAAACCAAACTTGAAACTATGAATAATTATATTTTTTACGTTTCTTACACTAATAATTTTTGATTAATATTAAAGTATACTAAAATGTTTATGATACAGAATTCAACTTAACATATATATATATATGTTATACATTATTATCGTATATATTAAAATATAAAATTTCCGTCTGATAATGTGTTAATAAATAATAATATTGGATTCTATTAGTATATTTACATTTGCCAAGTTAAGACTCATTTAGTATTTTGACTATTTTCTAGAGCGGATTCAGTTGATATTCTTTTCGGGAGTCAATTAGTATGTTATTATTTTTTTTTATAAAGCGTGTGACTCAATTAAAATACACCGATAAATAAAATAATTTACTCCTCAACTTCACTATATAATTTAAAATAGTTATACTTCCGAAATAATGGATCAAAAGTTGTTACCGAACAGTAATTTTCTCGATTAGATCATTTTTTATTTTATAAACTGGGTAAATATGTGCGTTGTCAATAAAATTATTTTTTTAATTATAATATAAATAAAAAATAATTTTCTGAACATAATTATTATTTTAAGAGAAATCGAGTGGCTAATATTGAAATAATCACCCTGTATATTGTATAAGAAAACAAATTCGTACATGGACATGGCAGGAAGTAATTGGAAAAAAAATGAAAATAGCAGTCGATTCCTGTCGGTCGATACATGACATGCAACGAGATAGCGATATGAGAATACAAAAAAACAATGACATCCCATACAGACGAGACGGTTGCGTAACTCACTTTCGCCAGCGTGTGCGTATCGATGCGGTGTAGAAAATCCAACGAGTTGAGCACAACGCAATCATTCCGATCGCTTTGCATAAACGACCGAAAACCGTATGACACCAGACCATGTGCGTAAAAAAATATCAGCGACGGAAAGGCGAACTAAAACGGTGAAAAGTTTAGAAAAGGTCGGTCATGGTTTATGGACAGCGGCGACAGGTCAAAACATGGCGTTTCTAAATTACATTCCGAGCGAAATGAGTTTGAATCGTTTGCGTTTTTTCGTCTGCCCGAGTGCGGTTTTAGAGTTCCTACGGCCGCCGTCGGCGGCACCCGGCGAGTCACCGACAGCGGTCAACTTGCATTGCGTTTGCCTATTGTTCAACTCTCGTTTCTTCCGATCGGCCAAGTCACGGCCGCGGGGTATCGTTACTCAATTACGTTATTGTACTATGGCGTTATTATTTGTACAGTGTTGTGTTTCCGCGTCCGACCGATGGACACGTCGTTAACATCTGTTGAATAACACGTATAATCGGCAAACGCCAACGAAAACCGGTAGAGACCATTCTCGTTTTACTACACTGTGTTTTTTTTTCTACTACTGTGCGTTTAATTGCGGGAGAGTCGTCTCCTTGCCCATCCGAAACGAACAGAGAAAGTCGCCGTTACGTTGCCAGCCTACGCCATCGGTTAGTCATAATAATAATAATAATAACAAGTCCGCTGTCGGTCGCCGTGCAGCTTTAGCATTGTTATTATGCGTTATCCAATACCGGCCAGGCACCGAAAATCGAGTAAATCCCGTCCGACGACCGAAAATTTGGCGATCCGTTCGATTTAGTGTCTGACCGCCTTTGCCTTAATGACCCAAGTCGTCCGAATGCCATCACGTGGTCGCGTGCCGTGGTAACCACATTGTTCTCCGGAGAACAGCACAAAAACTCGACCCCTATGGCCAAAACGAGTCATCGCGCCGGTCGCGTTATGCAATTGGAATTTACTTACATCAGTCCGTTTGATGATTCAACGAGTTGCCCGGTCGGGTTATTCAACGTGATTTCCAGAAAAACGAGGTGCAATCCGCGACAGACATTTCGCCCACTCATTCGTAAAAAAGTTTCGTTTTACATTTTCCGCTATCTAATACACCAAGTCTGACCTGTTGTTAGTACGAGTTACACGTATTTTTAGCGCGTCGAGTATGGTATACAACGCGATCGCCGACTACTGTCATTCGGATCTCCCGTTGACCGTAAAAAAACACACGAATCCCATCCGAATGTAATCTCTCATCGTTTCGATACTTGGTGCAAACCAACACACACGTCACATTCCGTTGAGTTATTCACTATAAACTATTTTCGGTTTGTGAAGTTAACGAAAAATGAACATGAATCAACTTATAACGTTTCACAAAATCAATTGCGAAATTAAAAAGAAAACCAACACGTTTTTCTTACATAAAAAATATAAGTGTTATTGGTTATGGTACGCGCTTGAATTTTACAATAATTTATTAATTACCTGATATTATGTCCGTTATTATTATTGTTATTACGTAATTCATTAAGAAGCACTTAAACAATTGATTCAATCAATTAACAAGCTCAACACGCTCATCTTCATTATATCACAAACTGCTTATAAAATGCTTGAACAACACATTTCATTTCGACTATAAAGTTTGCAATACAATTTTTATTTTATCGAATTGTAAAAGTAATATATCTTTGGATTCCAATCATTAGACGAATTGAAATTTTAATTTTTCCGGTAAAAGTGAAAAATTGTTTAACATTTTGTTGTGTTGTGAAAATTAAAGGGTCATACAGAATATGAAACGGTTGAGTCGTTATAAATTAAAAAATTGTTTGTTTTCTGGTCGAAAANTAATTGGAATTTACTTACATCAATCCGTTTGATGATTCAACGAGTTGCCCGGTCGGGTTATTCAACGTGATTTCCAGAAAAACGAGGTGCAATCCGCGATTGACATTTCGCCCACTCATTCGTAAAAAAGTTTCGTTTTACATTTTCCGCAATCTAAAACACCAAGTCTGACCTGTTGTTAGTACGAGTACATGTATTTTTAGCGCGTCGAGTATGGTGTACAACGCGATCGCCGACTACTGTCATTCGGATCTCCCGTTGACCGTAAAAAAACACACGAATCCCATCCTAATGTATTCTCTCAACGTTTCGATACTTGGTGCAAACCAACACACACGTCACATTCCGTTGAGTTATTCACTATAAACTATTTTCGGTTTGTGAAGTTAACGAAAAATGAACATGAATCCACTTATAACGTTTCACAAAATCAATTGCGAAATTAAAAAGAAAACCAACACGTTTATCTTACATAAAAAATATAAGTGTTATTGGTTGTGGTACGCGCTTGAATTTGACAATAATTTATTAATTACCTGATATTATGTCCGTTATTATTATTGTTATTACATAATTCATTAAGAAGCACTTAAACAATTGATTCAATCAATTAACAAGCTCAACACGCTCATCTTCATTATATCACAAACTGCTTATAAAATGCTTGAACAACACATTTCTTTTCGACTACAAATTTTGCAATACAATTTTTATTCTATCGAATTGTAAAAGTAACATATTTTTGGATTCCAATCATTAGACGAATTGAAATTTTTATTTTTCCGGTAAAAGTAAAAAATTGTTTAACATTTTGTTGAGTTGTGAAAATTAAAGGGTCATACAGAATATGAAACGGTTGAGTCGTTATAAATTAAAAAATTGTTTGTTTTCTGGTCGAAAAATTGTGTTGCAACCGTTATAATTAATATGCAAGACCAATATTGATGTAATTTTTAATATTATTTAGGTTGTGGCGTATCGGTGGTCAAGCAACAAGGAGCACAGAGGAGAATAGTCGGAGGTGACGAAGCTGGATTTGGCAGTTTCCCTTGGCAGGTAAAACGCCATCACTTGCAATTTTATTCTACTTCGTCGAAGCTAATTATTTTCTTATTGTTTGGTTTTCTTTTCTTTTTTGCATCAATTACTATCATTATTAAATTAAGGCAACATGCCGTATAGCCGATTGATTGTACGCAAACCGTGTGTAATAACCAGTGACCCCGACTGGCCGTTGCACCAATCTATCCGTTGATAGACTTCAGAGATACCCAAATTGTTTCGTACTGGTTTTTTATAGCAATAGCTCTGTTGAAAGCACACGATCCTTGAGTTTTTTGCTCGCGTTGTCGACTGAATAATGCAATAGCTGAATTCAATTATATGGCGCTCTGAATTTTATCGGAGTTAAAAATTTGTCAATAATATTTTCAATATCTATAGACTTAAATTTGAGAAACTTAAAGTGACCTCACCAATTATATATTTATTAGTATAGCATAAGTATTTAATACATTTTTCATTTTATACATATTTTTTGTTTGTACAACTATAATATTTATTATTTTACAATAATAATTAAAATGACTGTTTTTTTTAAGATGTGGAGGGCAAAGAACGCCTTTTCTTATGATAAAAATAATTTTTAACCCCTTTGAGTCTAAATTTTAATTTATTCTAATATCTATATATAAAATTCAATCAATGGTGATATCGAAAAATAGTTTTAGAGGTCCAAAATCGATGCTGAAAACACTGACATCGACGAATTTAACGGTCTTACTCTCTCTCCCTGGAAACATAAACATCTATTTTATAAAAAATGTTCTATATTCTAGGCCTACATCCGCATTGGTTCAAGTCGTTGCGGGGGTTCTCTGGTCAACAGATACCACGTGGTTACAGCCGGACATTGTGTAGCGAGGTAAGCGGACCAACAATTTTCTAATCGCTTGTGCCCTCGTATCAATCTGCTTTAATCGAATTCTATTGAATTTACCACGTTGTGGTTCCATAAAGTAATTTATTTATTTTTACTTTTTAGAGCTTCGGCCAGACAAGTTCAAGTCACTCTCGGTGATTATGTAATTAACTCNTATGTTTCGTACTAGTTTTTTTATAGCAATAGCTCTGTTGAAAGCACACGGATCCTTGAGTTATTTTCTCGTGTTGTCGACTAAATAATGCAATAGCTGAATTTAATTATATGGCGCTCTGAATTTTATCGGAGTTAAAAATTTATCAATAATATTTTCAATACCTATAGACTTAAATTTGAGAAACTTAAAGTGACCTCACCAATTATATATTTATTAGTATAGCATAAGTATTTAATACATTTTTCATTTTATACATATTTTTTGTTTGTACAACTATAATATTTATTATTTTACAATTATAATTAAAATAACTGTTTTTTTTTGTAAAATGTAGAGGGCAAAGAACACCTTTTCTTATGATAAAAATAATCTTTAACCCCTTTGAGTCTAAATTTTAATTTATTCTAATATCTATATACAAAATTCAATCAATGGTGATATCGAAAAATAGTTTTAGAGATCCAAAATCGATGCTGAAAACACTGACATCGACGAATTTAACGGTCTTACTCTCTCTCTCCCTGGAAACACAAACATCTATTTTATAAAAAATGTTCTATATTCTAGGCCTACATCCGCATTGGTTCAAGTCGTTGCGGGGGTTCTCTGGTCAACAGATACCACGTGGTTACAGCCGGACATTGTGTAGCGAGGTAAGCGGACCGACAATTTTCTAATCGCTTGTGCCCTCGTATCAATCTGCTTTAAACGAATTCTATTGGATTTACCACGTTGTGGTTTCATAAAGTAATTTATTTATTTTTACTTTTTAGAGCTTCGGCCAGACAAGTTCAAGTCACTCTCGGTGATTATGTAATTAACTCGGCTGTCGAACCCCTTCCGGCGTACACGTTTGGCGTGAGGAAAATAAGTGTTCACCCATATTTTAAATTTACACCACAAGCTGATCGTTTCGATGTGGCGGTACTAAAATTGGATCGACCTGTGCAGTATATGCCACACATAGCTCCTATATGTTTACCGGAGAAAGGAGAAGATTTCCTAGGTCAATATGGCTGGGCGGCCGGCTGGGGAGCTCTGCAAGCTGGTAAGAACCATTACACTATTGTTATTATTAAAAGTATAGANATAATCTTTAACCCCTTTGAGTCTAAATTTTAATTTATTCTAATATCTATATACAAAATTCAATCAATGGTGATATCGAAAAATAGTTTTAGAGATCCAAAATCGATGCTGAAAACACTGACATCGACGAATTTAACGGTCTTACTCTCTCTCTCCCTGGAAACACAAACATCTATTTTATAAAAAATGTTCTATATTCTAGGCCTACATCCGCATTGGTTCAAGTCGTTGCGGGGGTTCTCTGGTCAACAGATACCACGTGGTTACAGCCGGACATTGTGTAGCGAGGTAAGCGGACCGACAATTTTCTAATCGCTTGTGCCCTCGTATCAATCTGCTTTAAACGAATTCTATTGGATTTACCACGTTGTGGTTTCATAAAGTAATTTATTTATTTTTACTTTTTAGAGCTTCGGCCAGACAAGTTCAAGTCACTCTCGGTGATTATGTAATTAACTCGGCTGTCGAACCCCTTCCGGCGTACACGTTTGGCGTGAGGAAAATAAGTGTTCACCCATATTTTAAATTTACACCACAAGCTGATCGTTTCGATGTGGCGGTACTAAAATTGGATCGACCTGTGCAGTATATGCCACACATAGCTCCCATATGTTTACCGGAGAAAGGAGAAGATTTCCTGGGTCAATATGGCTGGGCGGCCGGCTGGGGAGCTCTGCAAGCTGGTAAGAACCATTACACTATTGTTATTATTAAAAGTATAGATAAAGTCTATGACGCCAAGTGTAGTTTACTTGATTTGTTGACTAGAGATTACATATATCTAACACGCCATTTTTTGTGCCAAAAGTATAAAACAATAATAATAGTAATGACATTTTTTTCTGAGTAGTGTATAAGAAAGCGTTTGTGATGAATTTGTACAGTTCTATAGTAGACACATTTGATAAGAGTAGAAAAGATTTCGGAGTCTACAAAAAAGTAGTGAATAAAAGATAAGATGACAAATGATTTATAAACGTGTTAGTTATTTTTTACTAGAGAAATTCGGAAGAAATTTTAAGGGATAAAAAAATGACGGTATTATTATAAGTCATTGTCCTTTGCTATCTTATACCGCAGCAATAAATCGTGTCCCAAATGAGCTGAATTCAAAAAAAAATTTAAGTACACGTTTAATTCAAAAATAAGAGATAGTAATACTTTATTAGGTTACTCGTTTGCGTAAAATATTACTCGCTAATAAAACTGAATTTAAAATTTAAGAAAAAATTTTAACAACTCCGAAAACAAAAAATGTTTTTTATTTATTGATATTTTAATATATTATATAAAAACACTGGTATTAACAAGTTTCTCCTGTAAATTTTGTTATAATAATTTGTTTTGTAACATTTCACCGTCCGAGAGAATTTTTTTAAGAAAGTAGTTTGTCGTACAAAATTTATGACCACCACACTCCTACGGAATTTGTTATGATGATTTTCTGTTGTTTCCATTAGCGACAAACTACAGTCGGGCAGCTTTTAAAATTTTAAATGGTAACGTTACATTTTCCGCACAACACAACAGAATTTGTTTTTGCATAACCGTAATCGATTCCACCTAACCGTTCGAAACACGGCACAGTCACGGGCGCAGCGTAATAACTACAATGCTGTTTGACGTAGTGAGCCTTCGGATTACACCGTTATGTTCTGATTACGCGTAACGTCGCGCCGCATTTAAAAATATTTCCATCATCACGTCCTCTAGTCGTGGACTTAATCACAGTATTACCTCCGTCCATGTAACGTCTACGGTCGGAATCACGGTTGGGTATCCGACGTAGCCCGCACACCCAACTGTAACTGTCGCTTTAATCTCCAATGAAAATCCGATAAAAAGTCGTTCCGATCGGCTCACATTGTTACAATTCTGACCGGACAACAACGCGTGTGTGGTGGTCGCACGTTGAGGTCAACGCAGTACGAAATAACCGTATTTTAAAGGTTAGCGTTTGAAAAATGCGCGTCACGTCCCTGACTACGTCAAGAGTAGACGTTCGCAGTCGCCTGGACACACAGCCAACGCTCTAAAGTATAGGCCGACACCGGTCGGGTCGAACTTATGGTCCGGAGTCATTAGAAATCTGTGGCTAAGCCCTTCGACCACGCGCGTATTCCTTGTGCGCATAGAAACTCGTGTATTTTTCACGTTGTGCGGCCGACAGGCGCGTTGATAATTGTCCTTTGGACGTTCTGCGGACGAAAGCGTTGAGTCTCTGGTGCGTGATGTGTTTCTCGTGATGTGTCACAAACCGGAACAGTAACACCGTCGCAATGGAACGTCAGATAAACGCGCAGTGTGATGTTTTCGTTGTGTCATTGTTTTTCACTCGGACCAACGATCGTCACCGTCGCAATAAAGTCAGTCATTGAGAGGAGATTTTTTCACTCAACCTAATCGTATAGGTTTTTTACTAACCGATGTTTTTCTTTAATCGCCCAATATCTTCCATTTGTATTCTCGACAACAGTTTCGAAAATATGAAATGAATTTCAAACACCAGTACACTTGCGCGTATCACAACGTATGTGACTATGGAAAACGTCCGCCCCCCCCCTCGTATGTAACGAGCGAATGCACTTTCGAACTTGAAGTGCACAGGTCATACCAGTTAATATGTTGGAAGCGACACTCGAGGGCAACCTGATAAATGAACCACTTGCCGTATTAGCATACACAGAGTATCATTAAATATGTGCATGCTAAATACAGAATTACGTTAAGAACAAAACAAAATCAACGTGTGTAGAGATAGTAACCAAATGGATGGTTTTTAAATATTTTTTAATAGCTGCGTTTGAAATAACAAATAATATATTATTGGTAGGATCACGCGACCGGCGGAGAAACAAAAACACTTTCGATTTAATCTTACTTTTCTAAAAAATAAATAATAGAGATTTTGGTAGTGGCTACCCGCCGGATTATTTTGTTTTTAATGCTATCGACGGCGGTAAGAACTGCTACCATCACTAATTATTACTGTGTAGTTTCGATAATGAATACCAATATGAGAATGCATCTCTCATATGTTATGTATAACAGCTAGCTAGGTTGAGCAAATCATCGAGAACACTCGTTTAACTAAAGTAAATTAAACCCTACAGACACAAGTTTATTATTAATTTCTTGTTATAATAAGAAACACCGATAGGAACCACTTAAGGCTTCAGTTAAAACTCACGTCATGAGTTTTGTTCGATTATTAAAAAGAAATCCATTCGCCTGCCCGAGTAGAAGGAGTCGTTTTGTCCAATCATAATACATTGTATGTGTATTTATTATGATTTATTTTCACAGGTTCTAGATTGAGACCTAAGACTCTACAAGCCGTCGACGTTCCTATTATCGACAACAGGCAGTGCGAAAAATGGCACAAGTCCAACGGCATCAACGTCATCATATACGACGAGATGATGTGCGCCGGTTACAGAGAAGGATCCAAAGATTCGTGTCAAGTGAGTGCTTTTTCGGTTTTTAATCCAACCGTTTTTTATTTGGTCGTAATGATTACAAAATCGTTGGAAATTTCGCGTAATTGCAAATTTCAAATTATCGTGGTCGGGTCGGAGTAATAAAAATAGTACGCGCAGTTAAACAAAACAAAATGATTTAATTTTGTTTGCGTACAACAAAGCGGTTGGTGTATACAAATTCAACGAAACGAGAAAGTTTACGGTTCGGCAGTAATGACTACCCAACAGAAATGTAACCCAAATCGAAGATAATAAAATTGTTAAACGGATCGGGTTTGTTTTCGAGAAAACTACTCGATACAAACGTTTCGACCGTTTTTGCAATGAACCTAAAAGATCGACACAATCAACAAACATCCAATCAAATGTTCATTTGATAAATCGACACGGAGTTAAAAATATAATATTACCTTAAATAAACGTACAGTTGATTTTTAACAAATCAACTTTTTACCATAGCAATGTGTTTCTTATAAATAGCTCGTTTCTTAAAAATATCTTTAGTCCAAAATGCGTTAATTGACCGAGTTAATTTTACAAATAAAATTTCGTTCCTCGTTCATTTTTGTTTAAACCGTTTTTTTGATGAATCTGCCCACTTCAAGCGATAATATTTTAAAAAATCAAACGCATTCGGAATATTTCATTTTGTAATCATAAAACGTAATGTTCACCTTTAGTACTTCGTGTTGTTATGTTGATGAACATAATTTGGAAAAAAGAAGAATTTCATTCGAACGCACCGGAGTTGTTATCGATTAATAAAATCCTCGAGACTTTGTTCTATTTTATTGAAAAGAAACACAGTAAAAGCTTTCATCAAAACGAAATTATATTATGGTTTTTTATATTCCTCGGTAAAAAAAAAACTAAACTATCAATTCCTTCATTTGATGGCAAGACTCCAACGGCTGATGGGATCATTTAAAAAATTTATGTAAAAATTAATTCATTTTGATTGATATATATTGTTATTGTAAAAAAAAATATATCAATTTAAAATACGTTGTTCCGGTGATTTCGATCACTCGTAAATAATTAATATTAACTTGGAAAGCGTGTAAATGATCGTAACAACTTTGATTGACGAGGACAATGGCTATTTTTTGTTTACAGGGCGATTCCGGCGGACCTTTGATGTTGGAAAAAACGGGACGTTGGTATCTGATCGGTATTGTGTCTGCAGGGTACTCGTGTGCACAACGCGGTCAGCCCGGTATTTACCACAGGGTACCATTGACCGTCGACTGGATATCTTACGTGATCAACTCTCAATAAGAAATAAGATCGTCGGAACGGAAATAACAGCAATAGTAACAATAATAAGAACAATGTTGATTATTATCGGAATAATTGCGTAGTTCAGTATTATATGTGATGCTCACACGTGTTAAATACATAATAATTATTGGTCAGCCAAATACGCTTTCGGTCCGTTACGACGGGGCTGAATTTTCACCACCGTCACTGTTGTTGTTATTATATTTGCTATTGTTGCTATCACTATNATGTGATGCTCACACGTGTTAAATACATAATAATTATTGTTCAGCTTTCGGTCCGTTACGACGGGGCTGAATTTTCACCACCGTCACTGTTGTTGTTATTATATTTGCTATTGTTGCTATCACTATCATATTATTACTATTAGTGTTATGATTATCATTAGTGATTTTATCAATGATTACTGTAATATTTATTCAAGTGGCGCGATCAATGTCAATCAGAAACTCGATTTTTTTTTTCGTCCAAATGCCTTTTGCAGCCATTTACAAAAAAAAAAAAATTCTTTTATTTATTTAAAGTTATTTTTATTGTAATTATTTATCGTTTTGTCCCGCACGAAACGAAAGTTGCTTTTGACAAGTCGGTTGCCAGCGCAAAAGATTTATGAAGTTTTTCTTTTTTTTTTTTTTGTTTACTCCTATCAGAATGTATGGCATTTAGCCGGTCAAAGTAACAGCAAATCTCTCTTAAATTATTATTTTATAAACGTTACCGCGCGACAATTGTGCCGTCCGTTTGCACGTATGTAAATATGTGCGCCGCGTTTGTGTGCTGGTTTACTTAAGTATTTCTAATATAAATGTGTATTATATCGATTATAACAGTTTTTTGTTACCTTTGTACAAATAAATGTATAGTAAACATAAATATTTAACTGTTTTATAAATACATTAAATGTTAACGTGTATTTCAATTATTATGATGATTGGCAATCACGACTCGGCCGAGTGTGTAATTGTTATAAATAAACAAAAAAATGTATACACGTGACGTGCGGAAAGATGTATTTTTTTACTTCATCGTCCATTTTTTCCCCTATGCCGTTCCACGAAGCTCTTTGCACGTCCGTTGGTCTGCAACAGGTCGGCAAATCGACAAAACGAGAGATCGCGTTCACGTTTAGGAAAACGGCCGGCAGATTACCTGATCGTTGAAGAAAGTACGCCCACTTGTAAATATTAAACACTATTAGAACGACGTGGTCGTGAAAGGTACCGACCGCGTTTTCATTATTCTATTACTTTATTGTTGTTTACTTTTTTTTTTGTTATTTTTTCAAGAAAATGTTACATTAAGTATTTTGAGCGCGCGCGCAAAACACGCGATTAAATCCGCACACAACGATCGACGAGATCGCCGGAGGAGAAAGCGAACCGTTTTCCTCTTGTTTTTTTTTATTCAACTCTTTTTCCGGACGAACGTGCGGGACCGGCCTCTCGGGCGCCGGACTTTAGATCTGCGAGTTTTACGGGGGAGGAGGGGGGGGAGACGGCAGGAAAGATAGTTGGCGATTTTTACGCGCGGTTAATTGTTCGTTTTCACTGTTTCGAATGCATCGGCGCCGGACAGGAGGTACGGGCAAGAGATTACCCCGCCGACCGACCGTAGAGACTTTGGAAACGCTAATAAATGGACGTGGCGATTTCGTGTACGGTCGATAACGAAACGTGGCGGGGAAGTGCACGCGAGATCAGATTGTATTAAATCCAGTGGAAATCACAATGAGTTTGTATTGTCGCGAAGGTTAACCTAGAACACGTGCAATTATTTACACCTTTGACAGCAACAAAAATAAAACACGAGACCAAATCTACCGCAGTAAAGTAGAAATGTAAAAAACGGGTAATTTCTTAAATTTATAAGAATTCGAACACCTTTACATGAAATTTGGCTTACAAGTGTGTATTTTAATACAAGCACAGTTACAGTAAAGCCACCGAAAAGATTCAATTGACTTTTCAAGTCATTATTAATTTGACAACCGCATTCTAAGCGTGACGTCTGAATAATCCAATTTATACTATACACTACTTAGTGTAATATAAACAATATTGCTGTAAACTGTGAAAATCTGTACGATTACAACTAAATTTAGTTTCATAACTAAAAGAAATATGTATCATATATATTAATTAAAAAAAAAAAATTATTACCTTAAAATTATACATTTGATAAATATTTTATTTTGTTCAAATTTTAAACCAGATATCATGCCAGGTCAGTAAAACAGTAAGATAGTTGTTTGATACATAACAACAGAGACATTTGTTTAAATAAAAATGTAAGAAAAACATTTCATACGCCCCCAAGTTAACATCAAGTACTACGGGTTGATTTATAATCACAATAAACCATTGACATACCTGGTGTTACTTCTGAACACCAGTTTTTCGATTTAAGGTATTTTGTAAAAATATTTTATGGAAATTAATTAATGTTTTTATAAAACAAAACATCGTATGCCTAACATTGGAAACGTTTATCTTCAATTTGGCGATAAATTATACATTTAATATTACACATACCTCTTATATAAACGCGATTGCTCCATTGGTACAACCTAATTGATTCAACTAGTAAAATAAATAACATTTTACGAGTTTTCCCACACGGTTCATATTCATGTGTACTACATACGAAACAGGAGTGAAGTGTTTGATGTTAACAAATGCAATACGAATTGTTTGGAAAATATTTAGTTCCCCTTAACTTTTGAATGTGCAGTGAGGAGAGCATAACAATAATATTACACCATTAAACTGCTATTAAAATATCTTTTAATTGGACAACGCGATTCAAATGAGCTATTCCTTAACCAAATAAAATTGTCAACTATTATGTGATTTCTTTTAACGATTGGATGCTTAAAATATTATAATTTGTAATTGTTATTTAAAACTACGTAGTTTTTAATTTAAATGTAACCTTTACGATTACTAGTGTAAATATAACTGCTTCAAACTGATTTTTAATACTTTTTCAAGTAAACAGTACATTATTTTTATCCATTTTGTATTTTATTTATTAGAACATAGTATTGTATTGTATTGTTGCCCTTTACAGTTAAATTTCTCGTGTATATGTTTACAATTTTCCCTAAAATACAAGAACTGAACATAAAATTTTGATTTTAGTAAATGTTTAAAAGTTTAAATTTTCGTGGTAAAAAGTTAGACAATTTGTATTTAATTGTCTCAAAAAATCTATTGAATCAATACCCTGCATTATGCAATACAGCAGCTATTTATTAACAAATAAATAGGTAACAAAATAAAATAATAAAAACATAGTCTAAGACAAAAAGCTGTAGACAATGAGTATTGAAATTACGCGGTTGTTGAATCGTTAATGAATATTTACATAACACGCTAATTGTTTTTAAAAGAAACGTTGCATAAGTGTGCCTATTTTTAAAGATAGAACGTTATAAGAGCTCATTACAGAGGTATTAATTTTTTTAGATCTCATGGTAACAATATGAAAGTCAAATTGCTTTTTACGTGTGCTTAGGTAAATACATTGTGTTGACATAATTCACACTAACAATACGTATGTTTTAATTTTTGTGCAGACATATTATTCTTTTTAAAAGCCATATTAATAAAATTATAAGACAAAATATTTATTGTGTTACGTCTTATGCTAAAAACTTATAATTTTAAAGAATAATTTTCACATTCAATAAAATTTAGTTATTTCAAATTTTAGTATTTTAGATAACGTCCTTGGTGAATTATTTTTCCCCTTATTAAATAATAATGTGGGCATAATAATATTGCCCAAATAGTACTGAGATTGTATAATGAAACCTTAGTATAATATCGTTTTAAAACATATTTGTTCTTATAAAATAAAAATTTAATTAATTAAAAATGAATAATAAATCAATGTTATAAAATATAATTTGAAACTAATTTTTTGTTCATTTCAATGGCAAGATCTTCATAAAAATTAAACGATTTTATTTTTGTTTTTGGCTAGTTTAGTGAATTTTATTCAAAATCTGTTACTATCTAACAGCCTTAATTTCTAAAAAAAATTATCATGGAAATAATTGAAGGCTCACCATAGATTTCGGTATATTTCATAAAAAGAAATTTATCAGAAAACGATGAACACAAAATGGATTCCTTTGGAATTGCCATGTGCACCTTATTTTCCAATCCATCAAAAAAACATTTAAAATATTCCTATATAAACAATACCATTTCTGAAAAATTTATAACATGTATTGTAGTCTTTCTAAGGTCATCAATTCAGATTTCCCTTGTTATAATACAATAAGAACATTGCATTTAATTAAAAACAATGAATATGTGTATGCTTTTGTTTATAACATGGACTTATAGTTATGTATTTATTTCTAAATGTATTATTCAATTAATCCTGTCAATTATATTTTGTTAAAAATAATGATGTGTCAATGTATTATTATTTGACCTTGAAACGTTTGATTATTTTGAACATTGTTAATTAATTTAAAAAAAAAATAGCTTTTGATTTGTATCAACATAATATTTAATGGAATTTCATTATTTTCATAGGAACAAATATTGTCTATGCATTGTAATAAATAGTTTAACCATTAGTGTTCTACAATTTAATTGAGAAACAAGCTTAGCAGGGAATAATACTTTACTTACACTCATTATATAATTATCCGCATGGAAGAAGTGTTAAGATTAAGATAAGATTTTTAGAAAACACGGTAACACTTTTGGCGAATAACATTTATCTGTTGATGGTAATAAGCCATGACGGATTTGGAATTAATAAATAAAATTCACCTGCGAGAAATTTTCTAAATAAAAAATCGTACATTTACTAATGATGTGCATTTGTCTAGAGCACCATAAACATTTATTTAGAATGATTAATTTTAATGCAAAAAAAAATATACCTCTTTTGATGTATTCGGGTAGATATAATTTATCCACGCTGTCTAAGATTGAAATGATAAAACTATTGTTTATATTTGAATCCTTGACATCTGATTAAACGATAAACTTGAAAAATTATTTCTGTAGGTTATGATAGCAAAAAAAATAAATAAATCGTACAAAAGGATATCCCCATTCTATCTAATTAATTACACATACTTAATTTCAGTGAATGTAGATTCTAAGTTTAACAAAATAATAACTCTTATTAGAAATATTGTTTATGGAAGCATAGTTTACATGATCCAATAAATAAAAACTTATATAATGCACAAATAATTTTTTTTTTTTAATAATAAATTACAGTGATTAAAATCAGTATCATAAGAAACGCTTCGATGAAAATCTTTAGATAGTGTTTAATTTTAAAAAATTGGTGGATCATTCCAAAAGCAAAATTAACTCCTATTTCCTTATTTATATCATGATTAGTATTTCTTAGATATATAAGTATAATATAACAATAAATACTAATTATAATAATTAAATTTAGTATAAAATTGATAATCAATAATTTTATATTGTAATTTTTACGAAGAAAATATAAAAATTATAAAGTAGTAGGTCAGAATTAAATGACCGTACGAATGTATTAATCTATTAAGAAACATAGCTGTGAATACACGGCTACTATTAGTAGTCTAATATTTAAGGAAAAGGTGTAAAATCATGATTGATAAAAAGTTTTAACAGATATCATGAAAATAAATTCACAATTCATTTTTTAATCATTATTATTTCTTGTTACTAAATAAATATCTATTATTACCGTCTATAAAATAGACTGTCACAAAATCAATTTGATCTCTAAAGCTGAATAACCACTACAAAAGTGAGACTAAATTGGTTTCCATATATTATAAGTTGGTTACAAATTAAACCATCAATGGTATGATATATAATTCTGGACAAAAATAATTTAAAAAGTACATTGTGCCAAATCATTTCAATGAATCGAATCGAACAAAAACTACTATTCATCACATGGCTATTACTTATAGTGATCGATTTGGGTTCTCGAACTCAAATATACAAAAGAAAAATAAATTTACTTTCATTTCATTTCATTATAACTAGGGTGATAAATATTAAAACTTTTTAATATGACGTGAAATTTAAGCCATGTGTATTTCAAAAATGATAAATAATAAGCGTCAAATGGATAATTAAGAATTATTGTTGACAAAATGTATTAGTACACATTTTTATTGTGTACTTTTTAATTACAATTTTATGATAAATTTAAATACACATATTATATGTATTTAAATTGTAATATATATTAAGCAAGAAATGAAAAAATATGTAGGGGACACTTCTCCTTTAGAAAATATTTTATCATTTTAGTCGGCAATGTGTTCCAATATGAGATACCGACTAAAAAATATCTAAATAAAGAACTTATGATAAAAATGTTCAATCGACTGTATTTTTCATCTATCTTTTGATATAAACTTTAGAACAGCTCTGTATCATAAAAAATAATTTAATGTTACATCGTGAAAATAAAAATGACTATGTAATTATTATCTTCGATAATAAATAGAGACAATACATGATATCTTAAGACAACGTATAATGAACGAGTAATTGCCTATATAGTGAGCCTTAACGAAACAAGGATCGTTGTTGAAAACTAAAATACTCCAACCAGTATAACTTCATAATTTTACTAATAATAAATACAATATGAGTATTTTTTTATTTATTTTAATTTGCCGTTAAAAATGCCAAGAAGCATTAAAAATTATAATATATTCTTGTAGAGTAACACCACTTTGGTAGAAAAATTATTTAAGATAAATAAATATTCGAAATTAAAAATTTCAATTCCAACATAAAAATTCAAAAAAATACACACTAAAATAAAAAACTTTGTTTCTTTCAGTTTAAAAAATTAATATTAATATCTCAATAATTATCAAAATTGTTGATATGATAAATAAATTATCATTTTATAAACAAGTTACCTAAAATAGAAAATTATTCAAATCCCAGTACTACGAAAAATAGAACATAAAATATAAAAGATAACGTTTCATAAATTGGCTTCAAAACTCTAGTTAGCAATAACTTAGTTCAACTAAAGATGAAAAAATTAATTTTGATTGCATACCCACAACGCCTACATATATTTTTAAATATTTTAATAATTGAACATTAGAAACAACTTCAAATCAGTCTTATACTATCAAATAACTAAAACATGACTTACAATATTAATGATGTTCACAATTTTCAAGATTACAGGAAAGTATAAGGGTAATAAAATAATACAATGAATAATAAAAAAAGTTATCCTTCGAAAAATCAAAATTTTAATAAATCATAAATGTAATAAAAAATATTAATAATCATGTCATTTTTTCGAATAAAATGTATTCAAAAATTTCTTTTCAAAGTAAAAATCTGGTAAAAAGAAGTAATAGATAAATAAAAAATACATTGCAAATTTTATTTCTACTTTAAAACCTCTAAAAACTTAATATTATTTATTATGAACATTATATTAATAAAAATAAAAGATTATCAATTTTTTTAAAATAATTTTACACAACAAAAGATTATTTAAGTCAGTTAACAAATATTTTTCAAAGAAAAATTACATGTTTCAAAAAAATTTTTGACATAATTATTTTTACAAAATTTTGTATTAAAATAATATATTAATTTTTATCAATTAGAATTTTTGATTTATTTTTAGTAATTTCAATCGACTTAATAATGATATTGTAATGTTGGAGTTACTTAAAAATAATTAGCCTTGCAAAATAATCTGCTAAACTTTTTATAGAATTAAACATTTTGATGATTATGACTATACATATCTAATGCTTATATACTACAATTTTATTTTTGATATAAGTTTATTTTTGAAAAATTATAATTATATAAGTAATATTTTATGATTTTTTTCTATAAAACCAAAGTCTATTATGTTAAATCTAAAATAACTAAAATATTTACAATACAGACCTGGCAGTTATAATTAATACCTACTAATTAATGGATAACATTCTAAGTAATACAATGATAAATTTTTAAGAATGAAGGTATAATAATGACAATAATAATTCTGGCTGTTTGTGCTATAAATATTTCATCTATCTTATTGTCTTAATAATTTCAAATAATGAATATTATCTAATGGGGTCACAATTTTAAAGTATATTTGAATTCCTAATATACAGTGAAAAGATTTCGAAAAAACCATTATAATAATGAAAATTGATTTTATTACATATAATATTAAAAAGAAAAAAATGCTTAATAAGAATACACGTGGATGAAGTGAAACTTCTTTCTATCATTCAACTGATTATTCAATTATTAGATTTATATTTGAGTAAAATTAAAAAATACACCTAAAATTTTATTTATTCAATGGATAATTATAGATAATATTTATTATTTATACAGGGTGTTCAGTAAATAAGGAAACGAATTTCTATTGTACTCATTGTTTGTAACAATTTAACTGTTTCTTAACTTACTGAACACCAGTTGTATAAATCATTTATTATTCAGATGTATTATATTAAAAAAACTAATAGGTATATTTACTAACAAGAATAATAATAAGTAACGAAATATATTTTATTTAATTATTTTGTTAAGTTAATAAATAAATAAATAAATATAAATTTATTGAACTTATACACTTATCGGACAATAAAATTTTGACTGAATACCTAATTGAACAATATCCGTTTTATGCGATTATGGCGCATCACGATCGGCTGTCATGATCGACTGTCACAGACCATCTCTTTTGCGACGAACGGATTCTATTGTTTTATTAGGTCAAAATGTTACCATTCAATGAACGTATTACAAAACAATAGAATTTTTACCATATACCTAATAGAACAATAGAATCCATTCGACGCAAAATGGACAGTCTATGATGGCCCACCGTGATGCGTCATAATCTTTTTTTTTTTGACCCTCTGTAAAGTAATTTCACTTGAAAAACTATTTCAAAATTTAAACCTGCTTTACGTTTAACATAATAATTTTTAGAATTTTAACTTTTAATTAGGAGTTTCAATGAAGTTGGGAAATTATAATATTGCGTTTTGTAAATTCACCCTTCCCTTATAACTCTAAATACTAACTGTAAACTTATCATTATTAACTTTGCATTATAACATTTTTGTACTTTTAAAGACACGCCAAAGAGTTGATTATACAATTATGTCAAATTACCAATTAGGAAAATGTTTGCCTATCAATGCCTACAAATCCGTGAACATTTTTAATGCGATTATTTTTTGGAAAATGTTCATACTAGGCACAATGAAATGGCGTGGTATAATCACTGACTAACGATGAAATCAGTACATCCATGTTGACCAAGTGTGGTTAAATCTGACAGGGTTTGCGTTCACGTCGATTGGTTGATTAGTCTGAGTGACCAACTGTCTCCGGTAATATTTGAGTACCTCGTATAGCTGCGAGCTCACAGTCAGGTACTTTTTGGCCAAGTTTATTGTTTCGCAAGGATCAGACTCCATGTCAAACAGACAAGCTTCACCTTGAGAACACGGTGATCTGGCTCTAGGTCCTTGTTGAGGAATACATCTGACCGTCGCCTCTAATCGCGTAGCTAAAATATCTCTAATATTGGGTTTTAGTAAATACAGACTATCAGACAAACTCGACAAAACTCTGCCAGCCCTGCTTTCTATCACAGCTGAAACATTATAGGCTATACGTGCTTTAGTAATTCCGTAAAAGCCGTCAACGGAACCATTGGCTGTCGAACCTATACAAAAATTAAGTAAATTTTTAGTGTAATTTATAGTTAATTTTCACAATCAAATTGTTCAAACAAGCACAATGTCATAAAAGTGTAATTTAATAAAACCCGTTCTACTCATCAGACTCACCAACAATAAGTTTCCAATTGTCCTTTCTAATTGCGGCATACCGTTTTTTCTCGTCTATGTTTAGCAGCACATATTTTCGTTGTGATGGTAAATTTAATGTCAAAGATGTCCATTGGTCCAGTCCATCCAAATCTTTTGGTAAAAATCCTGTATGTCCACCTAAATTTCATAAAATTGTCAATAGACTATATAGAATGTTTCGTAAGTAAGGAAACAGGTTTTCCTGTATGACTTATTAACTTGAAATTCATTTTACCTGCAGCTGAATATAGTGTTGGTAACCAATCCGATATATGAATTAGTTGTTGAGACACTCTTGGATTTTGTTGAAACTGCGAAGTCCAAATAAGTGCTGGAACCTTAGTACCACCTTCCCACAACGTGTTTTTTGTCTGGAAATATAATTAATTCATTTTATGTACCATAACTTTTTTTTTTTAATAAACAAATATTTACTCCTCTGAAAGGATAATTAGATCCCCAGTTTTCAGATACACCTGAGGCTGCAGGAAAATTTCTACCTGAATCGTCAAAAGTTGGTGATCCATTATCTGACATGAAAACGATTATTGTGTTGTATAGCATGTTTTTTTCACTCAACGCTTGCACCACTCGCCCAACAGATTCGTCCATTTTCGAAACCATTGCTATAAAAAAATTTTGAAAGTATAAAAACATGCACAATTTCCGAAATAATCCAAACATTTTTATTGAACAATCATTCATTTAGTTAGACATTTTCTAACATTTATTTTAGTAAAATTATATGCATGTATTGTCATTAAATAAATAAAATCGATACCCTTATAAGGAATGGACCCAAAAAATATTTAACCACTCTTAAATCAAAAAATAAATACTTTTAAAAAAAGGAAAAAATTCTCAAAATTATTATTTTAAAAAAACTAGTGATCAAGTAGTGATCACTGTCTGAGACACTATCTTGATAGTGTCAGAGATCTAACTAACAACACTTATAACTTTGGTACTATTATAATTATATTAATTTTATAAATATATATATATATAATTATTACATTCTTAGACTTTTTTTAATGTGTATTTGTATTATTTATTATTAATAAGAGAAAAAATTGATGTTTCTTATAAAACATTTTCAGGACCAGTATTCATTGAGTTACAAGCACTTAATATATAAAGTGAGTATGTACTGAAGGTAGATGCAGTTCGCACTAGCTACGAGTTCCTATGTATATTTCAGCCGAGTTCCAAATAAACGTTGTCAGTCAGATCTGGGACACTATATTTTGCATTCACACGCATTTGCATTATCATAAAAATATTAACTACTATAAAAACATAAATTAAGATCTTTTAAAAAAATTTCTGTTATTTCTATATTTAAATTTAAATCTATATTTAAATTAATTTATTATATAGAAAAGAATCTTGCGCAGTTACAATGAAATATACAGTTTTAATAATAATCTTATTCAATTGTTTTTACCCGCATAAGTCCGTCTATTAGGATCGGCAATATGGCTGAATTTTTTTATTTCAGATTGCGGAGCTTCTAGATTCTTTCCATGATTTCCTGTATGGACAGCTACGTGTGCTAAGTACAAAAACAATGGTTTATTTGACGGCTGTTCTTTGATTAAACGTACTGCTTCGTCCGTAAATACATCAGTTGCATACTTGCCGACTACATCCCACGCAAAAGAATCATTTCGCCTTAAATCAAATCCATTAAACTCACCAATATTTTGATACTGAAAAAGAAGATTTTTTTCTAAATATTATCAGATATCAAAGTTTGTTTCGATCAATAACACACAAGTTTTTTATATTAAAAAAAAAAAAAAATGATATATTAATATGAAATTATAACCAAATCACTAACTAGGTATAAATATATATTTTACTCACAACATCTTGTAGCATATAATCGTAATAACTAACGTATCCAGTATAGTACCCAAAATGGGAATCAAAACCTCTACGAGTTGGCGTGTATGGAAGTTGATAAAATCCCAAATGCCATTTCCCTACTGCTCGAGTGGTGTACCCCAAATCTTTCAAATACTCAGGCAACAATTTTTCCGAGAGTGGTAATCCATTCGGCTCAGCACCATAAATTGGTGGTCCTTGCATACCTGATCATTATTACCCATGATTATAATTATAGTACAGAATCATAAGGTTATGTTTGTGTGTATGCAGATGTTCAGAATAATTTGGATACAGTGTAGTCTGAGCTTCAGATTATACAAAGTTATTAGAAGCTGTAAGTTCAGATTTTATAAAATTATTTGTACCAATACATCCAGTTTATTTTTATATTATTAGATTTATACCCCTATGAAAATCTCCAGAAATAATAACAATAGTAATTCGTTGATATTTAAAGATAATATATTTAAATTAAAACTTGAATTTTTATTTCAGTTTTCATTCATTAATTTAACAAAATAAGTTTTATAGTTTTAATAATGTTTAGTTAAAGTAACTATAGTAACATTACAAATACTTTTTTCTTTTTGTAAAATCAAAAATAAAATCTTTGGTAGCAAACTGCTTTTCAAAAAAATTTTAAATTATCTTAATATTACTCATAAATACATTTATTAAAAAATCGATCAATTTAATTTATTAAATCTAATTTATTTTATTATTGATATTCTAACTTTATATATATATATATATATATATATATATTTAATTTATGTAAATTTGTAATTGTATCAAACATATAACTTTAAAAAATGTCGAAAAAAGTTACAATAAAAAAGAAAAAGCTAAATAAGCAAGAAATAAAAACCTCGACCAAGATAAGTAAAGAGTCAGATATTCAATCTATAACTGAAACTTTAAATGAATCTAATAGCAGTAAGGCTATTTAACATTTATTTAGATAAATAAAAATGTTAATCAAAATATTGATTTATAATTTTCTATAACAAAGCTTTAGTCGAAGAAGAAGCAAAACCTAAAGATGGATTGAAAACTATAATACTGCCACTATATGTTCAAGAAAAATTAGGTTGTGTATTTGGTAAGCACGTTTTTGTGGACTCGCCGTGGGTTAAAGTATCTTATAAAAAAATAATCAATGATTTACATTCATATGGACATAAATCACGTTTCTGGCCATTCCGTAAAAACCTCGAGGTAAATTTACAATATGATTTTAGTTAATTTTTTCATCAATTAATTTTTTTTTCATAACATTTTTACACATATACATTTTTAGAACATAAAAAGTGACTACGTTTTACTTGGTTATAAGCCTTTCAATAGCACTGATGAAGAGTTCACAATATGTACCTCTGATAGTGCTAGAATATATATCGAAGAAAGTCAAGAAATGATGAAACAAGAAATTAAAGAGAAGGCAGAACGTTCCATATTCTGTTCTCCTGGAATTTGGAAATCATATGGTAGTGATAAAGAACTACAAGATGAAATAATAATTCCTGGACGAAAAAAGGTGATTAAAAGTTGATTTTTCAAATATGATAAAATAAGATGAATTTGTGATTAGATATATTTTTTTTTTTCAAAAATAAGTTTTTACCATCATTAAGCATTGTTTTTTCTTTAATAATTATTTACCATTATTTGAAAAGCTTGAGGATTTATCCGTGTTTACAAACATGGATAAATCCTCAAGCTTTTCAAATAATATGACAATCCATGAAAGTTTCAACACATTCAATTATTTACCATTTTTAATTTAAATAGTATTTCCCAGTAAAATTATTACTTTTTAGTAATAAACGTGGTGATTTTTGTTTGTCATGACCCACTTAATTACTTACAGAATAAAAATAATTTAGACATTCATTTTGGTTACGCTTAGTTGCATATTATACTTTAGTTAAAGCAATATAATAATTTTGAAGTCCATGTGCATTGTAAAGGTGTCACCTTTATTTTTTCAAATGGGAACACAATTTTGAATTTAAAAGAATTTGAGTTTTTATTTTAATAGTAAATAAATGACATTTAAATTTTTAACATAACATTATTCGTTTGTTAGATAAAAACTTTAAAGTTTCAAATTTTTGAGTTACATGTATAATATATGAAAGATTACAAATACAGAGCATTTATTGTCAATTATGACTATATTAATAGATATGATTTCAGTATTGCGTGTTGGTATATAATAAACTCACAACAATGTGCGTTACTACCATTGATAATAAATGCTGAGTATCTGCGAATATCGACGTTATAGAAAAACAATTAGCTACCTAAATTTGTAATTTCTCGTGTATTATACATGTATATTAGCTAAAAAAATGTTAAACTTTAAAGTTTTATATCTAATTAACGAATTACGTTATAACAGAAATTTGAATATCATTCATTTACTATTAAAATAAAAACAAAAACATCTCATTGAATTCAAAATTATGTTTCCATTTGAAAAAATAAGTTGAAACCCTTACAATATATATGTGATGAACTTAATAAGTATTACACATATAAGAATAATATGTAACTAAAGGTAACGAAAAAATACATTTTTAAATTGTTTTTACTGTGTAAGTAATTCAGTGGTTGAGTAATGAAAAAATCATTCTGTTTTGTTCATTACATGTAATTATGATTAGTTTTTTTGTCATTCTGAATAATTTTTGACTTTATAATTACATAGATTACAGTGTCAGTCGTGATAACTTAAATAGTAATATATTATAACTACAGATTATTTATAAATGGAAACTTCCTGCTTCGAGATTACAATTTAACGCTAGTTTTGAAGATTCAACATCAAAAACAATGTTTAACGAACACGTGAAATTAGAACCCAGATCAAAAGAAGTCTTTAATATTGAAAAAATACCAATGTGTAGCACTGGTGTTCAAGTAAATTGATACATAATACTTTATTTTTACTTTTAACCATAGAGATAATTATTAGGCTATTAATGAAACTATAGCCAGATCAATGCAAACTGTACCGAAAATAAGCAACAACAAGTGTATACAATCGGTAGCTGTAAATGAAGAAATGTTTCAACCAAAACCACTGACTAAGTCCAACAAATACATCGAAGCATTTTTGAATACCCACGTACCCTAGTAAAACATTTTTTTTTTCAAATTAAAAGTATAACTTTAAAATTTAAACATATTGTTTCAATAATTTACCTTTAGCCTGTTAACTCAATTACGTTACAATGAAACATACGACTTGTGCCGAAATGATTACAAATTATTACAAGCTAAATCAAAGAAATCAATTAAGCAAAGATCGACCACTTTAAATCCACAAACGGGTTATCGAAATGCAACTAAGTCGCGCTACGTTTCATGTTATTCATGGCACCCTACAATACCAGGTTCAATTATTCTAGAGGTATTTGAATTACATTACATTAATATAAAAATTGCGTATTATGGTTTTCCTTTAAGGTGTTTATGCAGTATGCTATATGAGTAATAGTAATGCGTATCAAACTGTTAACTTTAATGAACAAGATGAAATAATTATTAAACCCGAAGAAAGAACTGATCAATATGGTGTACAATACAGTGATGATGAAAATGACAGTAAGTCGTGGAGGGAACGTCCTGAATCATTCAAACTTACTGAAGATAATTATGAATCGAAAATGATGGTATTATTAAATAAAGAATATGTTCAGGTACTAAGAAACTTATTTATTCAAATCACTTTTAAAGAAAGTGTCATTAAATTTACTATGTAGAGAATGCGGATGCTGCAAATGGCTGAATACGAAAACTATACCGAAGAACCCGTTTTGGATGAACTGCGCAAACCATTCGTTTACATTCAATATAAAGGCCAACATTCCACACAATCTGAAATACCAAAAAAAATCCGAAAATCTATTAAACGATCTGAAACTACAAAAAATTCATACGCGTCTGAAAATTGGCAAGATGAAGAAGCTAATGAAAATATAGGCCTAGAAGAAACTTTAAGTGAAGAACTTCAAAATTTAAGCATAAATAAAGATCAGTGGAATGAATACACAAAAGATATTGAAGACGAATTTGAACTAGACGAATACAACTTGGATCATTCGATTATAGAATGTCAATCAGTGTCAGACAAACTTACCGATAGTAACGATCGACTTAAAATATATGATGATGATGATTTGGACGATAAGGATGAAGTAGATGTACATGATTCAGATACTGATAGTTTTTTTAATATTTGGGGCGATGATTCCGAATGGATTTATGGAAATAACTTAAGAAAAACTGTTAGAAAAATGCATAGGTAATACAAAAACACTTTATATCATTGATGCAGAATCAGAAGAATGTATCATCAACCAAAAAAAATGTATTTTTTCAAACAAATATTTCCGAATATTTTTGTTTTTAAACCTTGTAACTTTAGAGGTACTTTAACTAAAATTATAACTCTAAGAGTTTTATCGTTACAACAATCAATTCTATAAAGAAAACTAAATAATTTAATTTAAAATAATAAATAATTTGTTTGGTTAATATATTCCTCTAGTCTTATATTAACGATATTAATCAATTAAATTTGTTACATTTTTTTACCAGATACTTTAACAATAAATATGACCTCAAAGATAAAGAAGAAAAATTATATAAGTTATTGATATCTGAACCTAAGTACACCAATAGAAACTCTAAGTATATATTTAATTACAAGGTAATATTTCACTTATGATGAATTAGTTATTTGATGGCTTAGAATTGAAGCTATAGACGAAGAAAATTTTAAATTAGCAAGTGATATGCTAAAAGCGGGAGACTTATATCGAAAATACAAGAAGCAGCAAAACTCGACAACTAAAAGAAAAAGAAAAAAATCTCCGGCAAGGCAAAAAGGCGACTATAAACTTATTTTAAATGACGATGAATTAAAAGATAACCGAGAAGAAAATCCTTTAGCAAAAGAACAAAACAATCCAGTGGTAATCTGGTCAATTGCTGATAATATTTTTCCAAAGGTTTTAAAATTTACTACACTAATTATAAATCTAAAAATATTTACTTTAATTTTGATATTTAAGTTAAGATTAGATAGCCCTGAAGAAGTATGCTGTATTCAGTTCAATCCAAAACATGGTAACATAATAGTAGGAGGATTGATAAATGGGCAGATAATTGTGTGGGACATAACCGGAAAATTGGAAGAGGTTAACTCACAAGACGCGGCTATGTCAGAAAGAGAAAAATCACATCGAAAACACTTAGTAAGATTTATTTTATTATAATTTCATTTCTTTAAATTTTAATCTTTTATATATATATTCTTAGTGGTCACACATGAATTGGTATTTAAACGTCAATTATAATACAAGAATTAGATCAGCCGCATTGAGTTCTATCATAGAATCACATACTTCAAAAGTAACTTCACTTCAATGGCTTCATCCAATGACAGAGGTTAGTCATTTTACCAAAATAGATCATTATTCAGATACACTGTTGAATAATCAATTATTAAAAATTTTAATTTTAACGCTTTAATAATTTGCCTTTTATTAAAATAATCTAATAAAACCCATGTTAATTGTAAATTTACAGGTAACACGGTTAGGTAAACTTGTCAATACACCTAAAGATAAATTTTCCGATCAATTTTTTTCCTCTTCTATGGATGGTACAATAAAACTATGGGATTTACACTCGACTCCTGTATCAAAATCAAAAAAGCCAGTTAATGCTCCAAAACCTCGTTTTGGTCACCCTGACAATTTGAATAAATACAAGTCTCCCTTCATTATTTATAACAATCGTTTGGAACCATCGTATTCGGTTTGTATACAAAATGTCAGGTTTAACATAATATAAAACATATTATTATACTTAGATAAAAGTAATAGAACCTATGAAAAGTATTTTTTCACCAATAACAGCATTTTCTTTTGAAATACCAATTATTAAATACGATTTCATTTCTGATTTGCCATTGACCATAGGAAAAAAACAGTACGAATATGGTAAATATTATTTATACTCCTAAAAAAATCAGTGAATTATTTTTTTTATATTTTATCTAATAAATTGATTTTAGTGGAAACATCATTGCAACAAGAAGCCAATAAACTCATGGTAGTTGGGAGTATGATGGGTCAAGTTGGGGTTATTACATGGGAAGGTCACGAAACTTATCATCAAGACTATAAAAAAGAGGGTATTTACTATATTATTCATTAGTTATATATTTACTTTATTTACTTTATACATAAAAAATAGACTGCAAAAGTATTTGGTGGAATTATGTACATGATGGGCCTATTAGTTGTATAAGGAGAAACCCATTTTTCTCAAATATTCATGTAATCTGTGGAGGTCATATTGTATCTATATGGGATATAAATTACAGAGTAATACTATATAATAAATATCATATAAAATTATTTCACGAATTTAATTAATTATTTACTAGCAAGTTTTTAATTTTTTTTTTTTAGATTGGACCTATTTGGTGGAAACGTTTTAAAGAATTTACTACAAGTTGTTTATGGTCAAGAGTACATCCCGGAGAATTTCGAATAGCATTTGAGACCGGCGTTGTTGAATTTTGGGATTTTATGATGCATGCCCATAAACCATATTTAGTGTCAGAAATTCTAAGTTATGGTGCCATAACTAGTATGGATATTAAAAGGATTATATTTGTAATTTTTAAAATACTAAAAGGTTTTTTCAATACAAACAGCGCTATCTGCACCAAACCCATTGGTTCATTATACTTCGAAAAATTTTAAATTTTCAAAAGATATAAACGAGCTTGTTGATTTTAACAAAAATGAAGTTATTTGTTTTGCGGATTCATTTGGTGCATTACAGCTATATAGTATGGAAGTAGGAGAAAATGATCCAAATGAAATTGACGAGGTTGATGCTCTATTCAAAAAAGAAATCGAAAGAAAAAAAGAACTAAATAATTGGAATGAAAAATATAAAGAAATATTTGGAATATTAGGAGAAAACAACGTGGATGAATTTCAGTCTGTAGAAACGCAAATGTCTTCAACATTAGAACCAATTGAAGAAAAATCGGAAACAGTTACTTCAGAACAAAATAAAAGAAAAATTTGCAATGAAGCTTTCACGTACATAACTTTTTTTTTTTTTTTGATAAGTCGTATTATAAAATTAAAATCTTTTTTTGGTTATAGATGGTATTTAAATCGAAGGGGGCCATTGACACATCTAAGTAAAATGAATAAATTGTATATAGAACGAGAACGACGTCATATGTTAGATGTTATGATGGCTAAAAAAAATATTAATGAAACTCAACTCGAAGAATTTATCAATCCAATTTTAAAAGAAACTGAAAGAAAAAAACATATTAAAGAAGACATGGAAAAAATGAGATTAAAGGCTGACAAAGCATTTAGAGATATTGTTAATAAGTTACTTCCACCAGATCCAAATTTAGAATTTGTAATTTTAATTTTATAGATTCATTTTATATGTACTAGCTGCAGTCATTTTATTAAAATAGAATTTCGAAAATACACTTCCAACTAATGACGAATCAACGAGAAAGAATAATTTGTTTGAACACTTTCGGCGACTTATAGTAACAGATTACCATGTCCTAAAAGAAAAATGGAATGAGTTTATCTCAAACAATCCGTTTAAAATTGAACAAGAAAATTGGACTAGAATAATTGATAATGCGGAAAGAGATGTTAAAGAAATGATTAGGCTCAATGATTACTCTTCTTTAGAAAATTTAGAAATTAGGTATAAGAAATAAAAAAATAATTTTTGAAAATTTCTCTTTAACTTAATATCTTTCTGTTTAAAGGGATATGAGAAAAAAACTAGTAAAAATAAATAAAAATAATCTAAATATGCTTGATATAAAAGATATAAAAAATCACATTGAAAAACAACAGGAAGAGCGGAGAATTAAAAATAGAGAAGCTAAAATAAAACAACTTAAATCTATTTACCACAATCGTTTTGACTATATAGGAAAAACAAATTTATTGGCCTCCTCCCAAATTTGCGAAGATTACTTTGATGGAGTAGAAATAGGTACATGATTAATTAAATAAAAGAGTACGTGAACGTTATAAATAGAAAAAAAAAGCTAAGTTTTTAATCGGTTTAGTTTTTATTTAAAGGTTCTAATAAGGCATTTTTGGAAAGACAGGATTAATATTATACAAATGATTTTAACACCAGAGTGTATTAATAACATTTTTTGTTTTTACCTACAACTTAAATTATATTTTTACCAGGAGAATATGAAGGAGAAACAGAAGATATATACGGAGAGTTAAATGATTTTATAAGTTCTCAAAGTACAATATCAAGTCGAGATAATTCAAAAAATCTTGACTTTTTAACTATTCCAACAAAGAATAAGCATAGTAAGGACTCCAATTCATTGTTTACTCATGAATTTGATAACGAATATGGTACATTCGGCGAAATGGATGAGCAACTTGTGTTTGATGAACAAGCTGAAGCAGAACAAATTAATAATGGTGACATTGCTTCGATATCTATACCATCTTTAAACTATGAAACTATTAACGAAGAGCTTTTAAAATAAAATACATAAAAGGAGGGGTAGTGATATTAAAACACATATTTATTTAGTGGTTAGATTCAAAAATAATTATTTTATAAAATGTTCGCATAATATTGTAGAATATTATCTATAATAGTAAAATTATTATTTTCTATGTTAGTTACAAGAAATACTTAATATTTAATTTTTGTAATATTTGAATTATATTATTTTATTTTTGCTCTTGAAGAAAAGGGTTTAAGAATAAGTAAGAGTAAGACAGAGTATATAGAGTACGAGTTTGATAAATGAGAACACGAGTTAGGTGAAATAAGGAGACCAGTGATAATAGGCGAGGAGAAAAGTTTTAAGTATATAGGATCAATTGTGCAAAAGAGCGGTGGTATTGTCGAGGATGTAAGACACAGGATTATGTACGGATGGTTGAAGTGGAAAGAAGCGTCTGGCATCTTATGCGATAAAAAAATTCCAATTAGGCTGAAAGGTAAATTCTACAAGACTGTAATGAGGCTAGCTATGATCTATGCTTCAGAATGTTGGGCGATTAATAAGAAAATAAAGCAGAGAATGAATGTAGCAGAGATGAGAATACTTAGATGGATGAGTGGAGTGACTAGAGAAGATAGGATAAGGGACGAGCATATAAGTGGGAGTATAGGTGTAGCGTCAATCATGGATAAGATGAGATAAAATAAACTTAGATGGTTTAGTCATGTTATGAGGAGAGAAGAATCTGCAGCTGTAAGAACAGTTATAAAAATGAATGTTGAAGGAAGAAGAGGTAGAGGAAGACCAAAAAAGAAATGGAGGGATGCTATTGAATGTGATATGAAGACAGCTGATATGAGCATAAATGATATGGGAGATCGTGTCAAGTATAAGTTTAGGATAAGCGTGGCCGACCCCAAGTAGTTAGGGTTAAGGCGAGGAAAATGAAGAAGACAATTTTATTTTTGCTAAATGATATACCTAATTTTATTGGATATTTTCCTGTCATTAATGCAGCTCGTGACGGTGTGCACACTGGCTGTGCATACATGTTGTTTAATATAATCCCATTGTACGCTAAAGCATCAATATTGGGCGTTGGTATTTCATCTGATCCATGGTAGCTAACATCATTCCATCCCTTAAAAACATAAAATTATATTACATTTAATTTGTTCATTTCCCCTCCACTATAAATTGTAACACACTAAAGAGAACGTTAAACATAGATTATTTTACAGCATATATCATAAAACATAAAAAGTAAAATTTATCATTTAGGCTATTTGTTGAAAATAACTGAAGTTATTTGTCCGTGAAATGACACCTTTTCAATTGATTTGCTAAAAATATTATATTCTTAATTGAAAGATATTTATAAAAATATTATTATTTTTATTTTTGAAACTATTGATAGAACTGTATATATTCTTTGTTAAATATAATAATTGTATTCAATTCAAGTCGAACGACCATTACCAAAAACCGCAATAAACCTTAATTACTTATTAAATTCAATGTGAAACGCAGTGATCTTGACACTTTTATGAAAATAGCATTATTACAAGGAATTAAAAGCTATTTTTTGTTTAAAAGCATTATATTTTTAAAAATATAATACATAACAAACACTCAATCTGTCAACTTATTTGTTAGAATAACTCTACAATAGGATAATTTGAATTTAAGAATAATGAAGATATTTTTCTTTATCTATCAAAAATGATTTAATGCAGATCATTTATTTAAAAATTATCCATAAAATAATTTATAAATAACATAAACAAGTAAAATAAAAGTCAATTCACTTGTAATAAACGCAGAATTATGCTTACTATAACTTTTTTAGATTTTTGACGCATACTAATATTTATAAAAAATAATAAGGTTATTGTCTTGTATTATTATTATCTAGTTAAATTTCCAGTTTACTGTTTCTAAAATAGTATATAAAAAAAAAAACTTAACTATTAGCATTTTAGGACAAGTGCAATGAAATTTAATAAAAAATTAACGAAAATTATTTTAAAATAGAATATTAATAATTATTAATTTTATTATTAATCTAATTTAATTTTAACAACTCAACTATACATTAAAAAAATAAAAAATATATTAAAACGCTATAAATTAAAAATCATAATTATAATAACTTTTGAGACTTTTTTTACTATAAATTTATAACATATATATTTTTTAGTTTACTACTTGTAATTTAGCTATATATGAGTATAACCAATGAGCCTATAAAAAATTTTCCATAAATTACAATTGATACCGTATCTATGTCAGTGTAATTTAATTATGTTACGTTGCGCTTGGCTATTTATTGTTGATTTTATTTTGTGAAATCCAACAGTAAATGAAAGCATATATTCTTCACTTGCTTAATACAATCATTAATTTGATAAAAAACAACATGCTTATAATATTTAAAGTTTATGCGTTGATTTTACAAATGATATCGAATTCATACTAAGTAATAAAAAATGCTTCACTATAAAAGAAAATTAATTGAAAAGGGTTGAATATTTTTTCTGTAGTAAAGAAAAAGTGAATATTAAGTAACTCCAATTTTTAACTATTTAACTAAATCATTTAGAATTACTTGCGAAATTCTAATGCAAATGGAATAAGGGTTATCTAACAACAACCGCAGCCAAAACAATTTTATGCGCTTAGTAAAACAATTAGAATAAAGAATTAATTGATTGAAATGTTCACACGTTGCCATATAAATTCTGTTATTTCGACAACTCCCCTAAAAAATTATGCAACTAATGTTTCATAAAAACATGTAATAAATAAACCATTATAAATACCAATTATTTAACTTATGATACAAAACATTATTTATATTTTAATAAAAATCCAAAATGTTATTAATTTATATAACTTTTTAATCATACATAGTGAGTTAAAAATTTATTTATCCTTATCTAAAACATTTATACCTGAAATAACTTGAAGCGATCTCTCTAAAAACAACTTCGAATTAATCTAAAAACATTTGTTTCATTTTTATCTCACTGTAATTGATTCATTATAGTGAAATAATATTGTCATTATTAATGACCATTAATATCTTTATACGATTACCTTAGCCTTTATTATTATTTAAATTTTAGTCTTTATTCATGTGAGTTAAAGTGTTTTAGCTATTTACGAAAACATTTTTTCTTTATCAACTTTTTATTTTGTAATAATTTTACGAAAAATTCTTTCCTGGCTGCACCAATTCTTAAAGTTCACCTGGGCAAAAATTTTGAATTTCAACACTGATTAGTAAGAAATGAATGTAAATAGTTTCCTCATTAAAAATTAGAATTTCGCACCATAGTAAGTTCTTTCGAAAATCTAATAAAGTAATATAAGTAAAAGTCAAACAAAGTAATTGTCCACAAATATTTGATATTGAACATAAGATACTATCCAGTATTCAGACAATTAATTTGATTCAATTACTATGTTTAATTGGACCTCTTATATCAAAGATATTTAAATGAATAAAGAAAATTAGGATTTATATGCAAATTTTCAAAACTATTTTTATATGAAATATATCTTATTACGTTTTAAACAAACTCGAGTTCAATAATTGATCCCTGTTTAAATAACTAATTTAAAACCGTTTTAAAATTATAAAACGTTTTGTAATCCTAAACCCCCTAAAACTAAAATTGTATTATCAAAATGGTTTCTAACTGTTTTCGTGGTACAATATCGTTTTTATTTCATAACAAATTAATTTTAAAACTTTATAACGGCTGCATATAAACGAAGTAAATGATTCTAGTATAAGTTGTTTTATTATTTTTTCTATAATCGCCGGATAGACAAACGCATTGAATTTCTGTCTAGTTTCTTTTAAAGTCTCAAAAAAATTATGAAATTATGTGATTTAATAATTTGATGTTTCATTAGACATGGCCCACAAGTTATTGTACTAAAGCATTAATAGTATAAGATCTGTAACATAACTATTGTGCAATAACAAAGTTAATTTAATATAACCATGTGTTTTGATCATTAACATATTTCATTATTTTAACGTTAATCTAAACTTTAAAATATATTAAAATAAAAAATTAATTAATTATGAAATGCTATTTTTATTTTTATGTAAAAAATATTCCAATATTATATTAAAATTGAAAAATATAAATAACATTTAACTCAAACAGCCAAAGTTACTAAAAAGTTTAGTATTTTGTGGCTCTTAGAGTAAAATATTGTTACATCTTTTAATAAATTACATTTTAAATATGAGTGACATATTTGCATTAAATTTAAGTAAAAACTTTGGATTATTAGTACTAATTAAGTTTATGTAGTTATTGTACTGCAAATACAAATGTACTATATGAATTAATTCGGAATAAAATGGAGAACCAGGAAATCCGGGAAACATTCACATTCAATAATATGTATCATAAATATAAATTATACTAACTTATGATTTAATGGTATAATGAAACGGCTCAACATTTTCTCGGATCTATCGTCAAGGTCTAAAGAAAACATTTTTAAGTTATACCACCAAAAAAAAAATATTCATTTGTCCGTCTAATATAAAATTTAAAAATGATTCGCACATAAAATTTATTTAATTTTTGTTTATCAACAATGATACAAATAAAAATAAATAATATTTAAGTATCATAAATTAAGATTAATTACACAGGAACTAGCGTTGTCAATATTCACAGTGACCTTAATGATAATAAATTCATTCGTGTGTTGTACCTATTATTTAATTTCACACGTTTGCCACTGACCCTTGAAGATACTTCCAGATTACTTTAGATATTATCTTTAAACGTCATCATGAAATTCTACATAATCGAATGTCTAATAAAATAGCTTAATGTTAAATATAATACGTTTAACGAAATTTATGCTTGTTTTTAAACATTTAATTGATAAACAAATTGTGTGCATTGTTCTAGTATCATCAACTTATAAATCAAAACTTTTAATTGCGCATAAACTATTGATTTCCTTGTTGTTAACATACAATTATTACATTGTTGTAGTATATTAAATATTTCAAGATCTCATAAAGATTATATTTACATTCATAAAAACTTTACCTAACACGAGAGTTTGACGGTACAGTGAATACTAGTCAAAATAACTTTAATTAATGTAAATGTATATCCTCTACTGTTTTTTTGAATAATACACGGTTAATGTAATTAAAATAATTAAACAATATTTTAAATACTTCCTAGGGTACTTCATTCAAATAATTCACACAATCTATTTGATTTAAAAATCAAACGACTAAAAATTTATATTAAATGAAATTTTTAAATATCAAAACGAATTTTTAGGTTATAAAAAAATTACTTATAAGTGCAACAGTTCTGTATAGTTTATATTTAAAAAAAATTAATTTCTCTAAAAATTTGTAGTTAAGCTAAAAATTTACTATTACATATTTATTTTTTGATTAAATAATAATTTAAATTTATTTAAAGATAAGTTATGCTAACTACAAAAATAAAAACCCACTCGAACTATTTGAACGCATCTGACTATAAATTATTTGATAAAAAAAAGTGATAGTAGTAGTCAAAAATATTACGAAGACAACTTATTTTTAAAAGAATAAATTTAAGAAGTGCGATAATAATACAATATTGTTGATTTTCTTTCAATGCATAATAAAAATTTTAAATGTAAAAAAACATTACTATTAAACTCTCAAAAAAAAATTAAGACTACCTCAATTTTGTACGTATCTATGTAGTATACAATAAATAAAGTATAGACAATCGGCTAGCTTATATTATTAATGTTAAGTGTTCATTTTACAGTGGATTATTTTTTGATGTTATAAACATGTTAATGTTAGATAGGAGTTATTTTATAATTTTTTTTTTCATCCTATAAAGGTTTCTTGTATTTTTAATTTATACAAAGTAATTATTTAAGGCACTAATATCTATCAATTTCCAACAAAAAAACAATTTTCCAAATATGGAAAATGACTAAAAAACTTGGTGACACGTTAAAAAATTAATGTAATGAAACTAGTAAAATAATTAAGTAACCATATTTTCGCAGTTTTGATATTTAAAGTATAAACCTAAGTTTAAAAAATAATTTTTAATTAAACAAAAATAAAGCACAGCATCAAGTATATTGAAAAAAAATGATTTTGTTATTTTGTAATATGATATTATAAAATAATATAATTATATTGTTGAAATATTAATTAAAGAACAAAATATTTAATTTTTAATAGTATTATAATTTTAGTATAGTAATTTTTAATATTTTAATGGTAGTTTTTAAAATAGTTACTCTTTGTTTACAAAAACAAAGAATTTGAAATTATTGTAACAATATTACGTACAATTTTTTAAAAATTTTTTAAAAAAAGTTTTAAATAAAAATAAAGACATTTGATTGATTTTATAATTAATTATGTTTGTATAATCATAGAAACATAAGTTTTTATAATTAATTATAAAATCTTTTTTCAAATCAAAAACTTATCGAAGTTCCGATGTAACACTATTAATAAAAAATAATTTTAATTACCAAATCATCAGCCAAAATAAAGACAATATTTGGCTTTGACAATTGCGAAAAGCTTAATGGTAGCTGAAATAACTGTGCAAGGCAAGCCAATGCCATCAATGCTGGCACTCTGCTTAAGAACGGACGATGCATAGCTCGGCACGAATATCAATGGCGGCAATAGATCTACTGAATCGACGCTTTCTAGCGAACTGTGTCGAAGACAAGAATGGTGTTTGCAAATATCACGTTCAAACATCGTAGCTACCAAGGAGCGTGAAAATCGTTTTTTCTTCTCAGGTCTAATCTTAAGACTTAAAATAGCACTAAATACTACAGTTGATTTGCCGTGTTTTTCCCATTGAAAATCCAATTCAATGACTGTTCACATGATACATGACTTTTAAACATTAAAAAACTAAATAAAAATTAATTGTGTTTATCATACAATACATCATTTTTTTTTTCATTTTTTATCAGATGCAGCTATAAATCAGAAAAAATAAATATAAAAATAATTTTTGTTTTATGTGATTTCAAAAATGTTAATTTGATGTTTATTATGACTCATAAAAATAAATCAAGTATTAATCTATACATTTTTATAAAATAATAATTATTTAACAAAAAAAAAGGGGATTAGTATTTTTAATTAATCATTAATTAAACTATTAAACAGAAAATGTAATCTTAAAGATTTTAAATTCTAGCTAGTAAAATGTTATTTAATATCATAATTCTGTTTTGTGGATTCATAAATTTTATTAGTTTATATCTAGTAAATTTAATTCTCAGGCATGAGGATGACTAAGTCACTTAGTAATTTTTTTTGAAGTACCTGAAATTTAGTAACTCATTAGAATACAAGGCTGAGAACTATTAAGTTAAAAATTTTCATGTCAAATAACTTCATAAATAACTTTGATTTTTTTTTTTAATAAATTAAGTCTTCAGTAATATTATGCTTAATAGACTATTTAGTATTTTACTGATAAAAAATGCATTTTTCTGACGGTTATGAAAAATGTATACAGAGTGATTGATTTAATATGCCTCACGAATTATCTCTGAAAATATAAGAGTTATCTTCTTTTTTTTCTTTGTGAGATATTTTGTTCTTATATTGGCTGCTCAGTGAGTAAAATTACATTATTATGATCATCCCTTATGCTTTAAATCAGTATCAACTTTCAATTTTCAAATGGTAACCCTATTTTATTTATATTATCAGATTGATTTAGTTTTTACATTTTTTTTTATTTTATTCAATTATTAGCGAGTTAAAGTTTAGGGCACGTGAGTATTACTCACGTTGATTTATAAAAGATTCGCAAATTTTACATGGCGGTACAATACACCGATAGTTCTTATCTGTACACTAAATATTAATGTTACTGTATTTACCCGACTACTGTTTTATTAATTAAATCCTCTAAACTTTAAACAGTGATATTTCGTTTAGAATTTATTAAAATTAATTTTTTTTTTTTTGAGAATTTTTTTTTATACTAAACATGATTAATAAAAAAATAAAAAAACTTGGTTGTTATTTGAAAAATTGAAGTCTATATTGGTTCGAGGGTTAGTGGATGATCAACAAAGATTTATAACAGATAAAATAATTACATACATGATAACACCAATATTTTCAAAGAAAATTCGTGAGGCATAGTTAGACAATCACCCTGGATAGAATGTTCAATAAGTAAAGAAACGGGTTTATATTGTTCTCATTTCTTATAACAATTGACCTCTTTCCTTAATTACTGAATACTCTGTATAGATGGTACATGTGAATTTAAAGGACTAGAGATAAATGTTTATGTCTTTGCAAAAATATAAGAATTATGTGTTTTGGATAAAGAATTTAAATAGCTTTTAAAAAATGAACATACAAAACCTTCAAAAGCATTGTGTAATTCTACCAACATACTAATCGTTTAAAAATGTGTATTTTTTGTGATTTACTATTAAGTTATTATTTAATTGAAATCAGATTTCGATCGCCTTAATCTTAGTTACCTATCAATGACAGTTTATTTTTGTATAAGTATTAAATTTTGTATCAAGTAAAAAATGTTATTAATTATAAATACTAATAGTAAATTTTAAATAGTATTTTTAACATTAATGTTATAATTCTAAAATTAAGTGTGTAGTTTTTTCTTGTCATTTCCAGTGCTATCATTTTGTTTTTTAAAATATTCTGCTTTAATATAATTATTTTAAGAAAACGTTTTTAAGTCAAAAAAACATTAGTTTTTTTCTGATTTATTTAAGTTATTTAACAGTTATTATTTTATTATAAAACAGTAAAAACGAATAAAAGAATTTAATAACATTTACTTCAGTAGATAATATGACTATTATATTATAAAGTGACCATTTTTTAGCTTCACATGTCAAATTTAATTGTATCTTACCTTATGCTTCATTTATGTAATACTATATCTTGATATTTTATTATTACACATAATACATATAACACATTTAAACACAATATACGTTATACAATTTACACATTTCGTAAAAATAATATTATTTCCAGAAAATTTAGAATTAATTTTCGCTCGAAAAATAAATTTTTTATTTCAAATTAAAAATTTTTTTGTTAAGGTGTTACGGGTCACACAGTTTAAATAAAGTTTGTAGATGATGAAATTTTTATCCGATCATAAATTTTATATTTAATTTGCTTTTTTATATATTTGTGTATTTGGTATGAATTGTTACTTTTAAATAATTATTATAATTTAATGTTTAATTAATTAGATACCATTACACATATATAGAAATCTACACTAAAATCGATCACTACTCGGTTTATTTTTCGTTCAAATATTTAATATGAATCAAAATTATTTTATAATACACAATTAGTTTTCACTATCAAATAAGAAAAAAATCTATGATTTGAATACCATTGACACCATTATACCAACGAAGATGTATTAATCAAACACACACATAAATAAAATTTCATTTTTAATCAAATATCTCTCGTATTGTTGTTTTGTTCATTTTTTATACAATTTAGTGTTTCATCGTTCTCTATTTATAGGAAAATAAATAATTTAATAATATTAAAGTACTAGTGTAGCAACAGACATTATATAATACCTTATAAATGTTTAAGTTAAGATTATTGCTACAGTTAACTTCCGGAATACTTTGCCTGGCGTAGTCAGTGTGGTTTACTTTAAACATAGTAATATCTTTTGGTTTCAATAATTATCGTTCAAATACAACAATAGTAGGACATTTATTTCTAAATAGATAAAAATAAGATTGGGTATTCCAGTTCTTTTGAAATGGGAAACAATTTTTTTTTTATCTTTGAACTTAAACACCCACAAAAAATAAAGTACTATTTGCGTCTATATCTAAGTTGTATACAAATAATATTTATTCTTATAACTTATTAAACCCGATATTTTTGTTTTCCTTATGTTAGTATTTGGTAATACAATCAATAAAATTAAGGAAGAATAATAAAAAATAGTAATATTATAGACACAATTTGATTGGACTTAAGTGGCTAAGGCTATACAAAAATTTAAAGAATTAAAGAGCTTTAGAAGCTAAAGTAAGGGGGTATTTAAAAGTTTATCTAGGTGGGACAATTAAATTTAAAGTAATTGACCTATTTTTTTTTTGTTCGTCACTTTTATCTTTTATACAGAAGATTAAAAAGTAGGAAACAATTGTTTCAAACAATGATAACAATAGAAACCCGTTTCCTTATTTACTGAACATTCTATGTAGTAAGTGTTCAGAATAGAAAAATTTGAAGTATTGACCGGAATCGAGCGTGGATGAAGCTATTTATATCACTAGTTATTTCTCGGCCTCACTCCTACACCAACCAAGATATAAAAATATTAATAACTTCTGAAATACTGGTCCAAAAGTTGTAATCGAACAGTCATTTTTTTAATTTCATTATTTTCTATTTTATAAGCTAATTATTTATGTATGTTGTTATTTGAAAAAATACAGTTGATACATTTATAAGGTATAAGACACGAACATAAAACATTTTTTATAAGAAATAAATGGAGATACATGTAACTAAAAACTCCATAATATTTTAATCTAAGCTTGCTAAGATTCATAGACATTTCATGGCATTTGTGGACAATAGCGTTTATTGAGGATTTTCATATTTTGATAAGTTATTATCATTAACATAACTAGGATATTCTGAAACATCCCTAAAAATTTAGAAAATTATATATAGTATTACATGAAAACATTTTTCAGGAAAAAGGATTAATTCAGCAACTCAACAATTTTAATATAATTATGCTTATAGTTATCAATAAAAATTTTACAATATATAAGACGAAAAAATTATTTCAACAAGTTGTTTACTAATTAAGTCAATAAATTATTATTACATGTTAATTATTAAACACAAATGTAATTAATAGTAAAAAATCTATGTTCACACTCGACTTGAAACCTTGATTCGCAAACAATGAAATTTTCATAGTGAATAAAGAAAATAAATAATTGATAATATAATCAAATGTATTAATACAATATAATTGATATTTTCAGAACTTATTATAAACAGTTAAAATATTTTACACGAATAAATTTAAATAACAAATTCTTTATCGTTTAGTCAGTATATTTGAAATTATTTCACGGACTTTTTGTGGGTAAACTTTTGAATTTCATAATGAGAGAGTTAATATGTTTGAATTTTGATTAAAACTAATGACTTTTTTTTGTTTAAATTGCAAAAAAAAAATCAACCGTTAAATTGTTTTCAAATAATTCAATATGCTTTTTGAAATTAATTTTTCTACGAACGAAATTGATTTTATAAAATTATTGGTTGAGAACACATGTAGCAAGATACTTGTTATTCAAATTTGAAAAAGATCTTTNATGTAGCAAGATACTTGTTATTCAAATTTGAAAAAGATCTTTTTTTAAAACATTTTTGAAATTATATAATTATTTCGGATAAAATGTAGATATAAAATAATAATAATAATATTATATGAATTTAAAAAAAAAAAAATTAAATACATAAGAATTACAAGTATAGAACAGTCGCATGAGCTTTTTCTTTGAACAGACTTTTAAAAGATAAATTAATTTATAAAATTTCACAACATTAAAAAACATTAAATCTTATTTTTTTTGTGTCTAGTGTTAATAGTTCTCCAATAGATTTACAAAATTATCAATCATATCCGTAACACAGACGTAAATAATAGACTCATTATGTATAGTCAATTAGCCATCTAGGCCAAGCATATTATTTTACCATTCAATTTCATTGAATCGTGGCCCGAGCGTCGTGAACGGGGATGTGTATAAGCTTTAATTCTACATTTTATCTCACTATCCATTTGTCTAGTAGCTATGAGTAAAAAGAAAAAATTACATTTTTATTTTTTTCTAACTTTAAAACTATAATTTGTACTAGATGTATATTATATTCCCCTATTTGGTGATTTAGAAGGGATAGGTTTCGAATCGGGGTAGGATCGGAGAAACATATTAACCAAAAACATTTAAATTTTTTTCAACTAAATTATCGTTTTTCCATAAAATTGATTATTACAAAAATAGAACTTTAAAGTTACAAGTTATAAATTTAATTAGAGCATCTCTAAAGTTACATGATTTAAAAAGAAAATTATTTGAAAAAAAAATTTTTTTCTAAATTTTTTTTGGTTATACGTTCCTCTGATTCTATACCGACGATATTTTGGTGATTATTTTCTTTTTTTTTAAATAATAACAATCCAAAAATTCTCTTTTTTTCCTACTAATTTGTAATAGATTCTAATTTAGGTTTAGAACTCAAAAACTATTTAATGATTTATTTAAACATAATTTTTACCAACTCTGTTGCTGATATCACTGAAGTTGATGTAAAAATCGTGGGGATGTTATCACTACAGATTATTTAGTGATATTAAGTTTCTTTGCTATTATCAATAAAGTTGATTATTGATAATATTTCAAAAATTTCAAAAATTGACGTTTTGTAATTTTTAATTAAAATAATTTTTTACGGATTTTTCTAAATTAATTATCTATATTGTTGTTCACATATTTATATCCTTATATATAAAAGTCATGAGTTATTTACCAAGGTATTTGTCTAAAGATTTTTATTTATTCAAGTATTCAAATCGCGTAAGTCTTCTATATCAATGATAAATTAACAAAAATTATCTTATTAATAAGAAAAATATTATTTAATAATGATTTTTATTAATTTACCAATGAAATAATTACATATTTCAAGCTTATACAAGTGATCGGGTTTTCATGAATCACTCTTTTACTAGAAAATAAATACAATACTAAAAAAAAAATTTTTGATTTATTTTAATTGTATATATTTTTTGCTTTATCAGCTAATAATTACTTTTCAAAACCATCCCTTATAACTTAAAGGGGTTTCAACTTTATATTTTTAAGTTGCAACATATATATTTAACTAGCTTATAAAATAGGAAATAATCTAATTAGAAAATTACTCGTCAAAAACAACTTTTAACCTGTATATTTTGTTTATCACTAGCCATTTATTACTCGCCAGGGTATAAAAATAAAGGTAATTTATAAAGTACTCATCAAAAAGTTGTTATTGACCAGATTTTATCAGATTATTTCCTATTTTATAAGCTAGTTATTTATGTATGATGTTATTTAAAAAAATTAAGTTAACATCCCCTTAAGTTAAAAGGGATGATTCTAAAAAATAACTATTAGCAAAATCAAGACTAAAAGAAATAAAAAAAAAATTTCAATATTTTATTTATTTTATTTATTTTGAAAGTAATTGAGTGTTTGATAAACCGATCACTTTGTATATAATTTTATATACATTTTAATATCAATAATAATTATGAATCAGTAATACATTAATAATTAAACTTATTAATTTTGTTTAATTGTATGTCATAATTATATTGTTTTTTAGAAGTTATTTTGTTGTATGTTTAACTGCTCCTTGTGGTGTAGAAAAAGTTATTCACAAAAACCTGATATAAATACTTTAAAGTTAAACTCTGCTCAAGAAGAATTGAAACATAGTATGTATTGTTAATTTTTTTTGATACATATTTTTATTTATGTAATAAATATTAATATAAACAAAATTGTTTATTTTGCTTTCAAGTTTTGCATAGTTAAGATATACTATAATCATCAGTTTTTAATTTTTTTATAGTGGGATTTAAAAAATATAAATGTATTTATAAATTCAGAAGAAGCTTAAATACTTTTTTTTTTCTTAAAGTAATAATTATGTAGTATTTTTTTTTTTTTAATATCTTGTATTTTGTTTATTTATTATGAAGGACCTCTTATTCCAACCCTTATATCTCATAAGGGTTTAAACTTTATTCTGTTTGATGTCAACACACATATTTATCTAGTTTATTTAATAGATAATGATCTAATATTGAAAATGACTGTTCAATAACAACTTTCTGCTCAGTACTGTAAAAGATTTTATACTTTGATGAATGGAGGTTTGCAGCCAAAAAATATCAAGTAATAAATATTATCATACCTGCAATTTACTTCCAGTCTATAACAAAAAATCATAATAACTTTGGAAAAATAACGGGTTAGAAAAATCTATCGACCAATTATTCTCTTAACTAAATAATTTTCTATTTTATAAGATAGTACTCATTTAAAAACATTAAGATTATACCCTTATGAGACTGGTGGACTAAAAAAGTACTTTAACAATTGATAAAGTAAAAGAAATATGTATAAATGTCTTAAAAAAACAATAATTTTCTTAAAATTATTATATATTACAATAAATGGAGTGACTAAAATTATTAGAATCATTTTGTATTAACAAGAAATTTAATTTTATGACTACATTCTAAATTACTGAATTCTGATGTGTAATTTATAGATACATCAAAAACGAATTTATACACATTTCGAACTCATACGTGTGGTGAACTAAGATCTAACAATGTTGGTGAATATGTTGTTCTTTGTGGCTGGCTGGAATATGTTCGTCTTGGTCGTTTTATTGTTTTAAGGGATGGTTATGGTTCAACTCAACTTATTATTCCAAAAAATGTATGAATATTTAAATTTACATTTTAATTTTCAATTTTATGATAAATTGTTGCCCCATCATTTCAGGATCAATTCTCATATACCTTCAAACTTTGTTACATTATTCTTATAAACTGCTGTTTAAAAATAATAACAGTAGTAAAAAGTAAATGTCAAGCTATAATAAAACCATATATTAAAGAAAACTATAAAAAAAAAAATTATTTAAATTTTTTCTAATTGATTTTAGGACACAAAATTAATCAATATTATAAAGATTGTTCCTCTAGAATCAATTTTGAGCTGTCACGGTTTTGTACATTCAAGACCTACTGAACAAATTAATGAAGTAAATAACTATTTACTTTTATTAAAAAAATCACTTACATAATACTTTATTTTTTAGGACCAGAAAACTGGAACAATAGAAGTTGTTATAAAGAAAATTGATGTGCTAAATATTGTGAAAACTACTATACCTTTTCAAATTAGAAATTTTAATAAGGTAAAGTTTTCTAAAAAAATATGTTTAATAAGTTTTTCTGTTGATAAAATTTAATTAATTTTATTACTTATTTCTAATTAAAAATTTTAAGTAATTTATACAGAGAACTGTGAAAAGTGATTTTTATAAATTTTAATTTTATAATTTTCACATAATTTCTTATTATCTGAATATATTTATTAAACCATGAAAATCTAAAAAAAGTTCTAATTTCAGCATAATGAATAAAAGTATAGTTAAAATTGTTATTTAATAAATTATCAATAAGCTTATTCTATTATGTAAAGATATACTCTCAATAAAAAGAAACATTTAAAAAATTGATTCCTATAATTCACATATTATCTAATGTTTTTTATTATTGATATGTTTTAATTTTTTTAAGGAATTATTTATTCCTATCAATTAAAATTTTATATGTTAAAATTTTTATTTACAGGCAAATGAGTCCATAAGATTAAAACATCGATATGTAGATCTACGATTTCCTGATATGCAGTACAATCTTCGTTTGAGGTCAAAATTATTAATGCGAATGCGTGAATTTTTGATTAATTATCGAAATTTTGTAGAAGTAGAAACTCCTACATTATTTAAAAAAACTCCTGGTGTAAATGTAATTTAGTATGACATAATTTCTCTGTTATGAATATATAAAAATATGTTTAGGGTGCCCAAGAATTTATTGTTCCTACTCATGAGATAGGTAAATGTTATTCACTTGTTCAAAGCCCTCAACAACTTAAACAATTGTTAATGGTGGGAGCTATTGATAGATATTTTCAAATAGCCAAATGCTATAGAGATGAGGCTACTAGACCCGATAGACAACCTGAGTTTACACAAGTACTGAGTTTATTTTAATTATTTTTCGATCAAGCAATTTTAGATTATTTTTAGCTCGATATAGAAATGTCTTTTACTGATCAAAATGGTGTCATAAAACTTATCGAAGAGTTATTACTATATATATGGCCAAAAGAATTAGGTGAAATACAAATACCATTCCCTCGTATGTCTTATGATGATGCAATAAAAAATTATGGTACAGATAAGCCAGATATAGGAGGCAAATTGAAGGTAACTTTACATGATTGATTTATCATTGGAAAATATTTATTAATAATTTTGAAAAAAGTTTTTTTTGTGTTATTTATTAATTTATAAATGGTAAATATTTTTTTAGGTGTATCCCTTATCCCTTTTAAGGGTCTAAGAGTTGAACTTTATTTTTTTAAACATATATATCTAACTAATTCTTCAATAAAAAATGGTCCCACTAAAAATAGACAATCGAAAATAACTGTTAAACATTAAAGGTCAAGTGAAATATAAGTTATGTTATTTTTATCATTATAAATTTCTTATGGGGCTACTTCTCCTACCTAGGAATAAAAACAATCATAACTCCTAAACTAGTAGTTTAAAAGTTTTTAGCGACCAGTCATTTTCTTAATTGAATCATTTTCTATAATATGAACGAGTTAAATATGTTGGTATTTAAAAAAATTAATCCTGTAGCCATACAAGGGATAAGAGGTAGTTTTAAAAAATATTTAACCACTTATAATTTGAGAAATAAATAATGCTAAATAAAATCAAGCCTTTTTCTTTTTAGCTTTGATGCAAAGCTGAGAAGGTATTCATTGTATTATGATGTTTTTTTTTTTTTTTAATTTTTTTTTATTTTGTGTCTGTTATATCTTTTTCTCTGCTCTCACCGAACCGATTTCTTTCAACAATACGTCAAAATACCACAAATCGTATCTAGTCGAAGATATTACCCTCAAAAATTGAAAAAATTTCCCTTGTTCCCCGTAAATAGGGAGATTAAAAAAGACAACTTTTTCACAAAAAATTAACACTTTTAACTTAACTTTTTAAAGTGTTCCGGAAATACACTTTTATTTTATAAAAGTGCCAGTATTTTTAATTTAAGGTATATATTAATAAATACCTTAAATTAAAATTTATATAATATACTTTATTATGAAAATAAATTTTCGGACTTTATTTTGTCTTCACGGTGAAAATAGCTACCAAATGCTAGTTTTGTGTGAAAATTCTCAATTTTTTTTTTTTACATTTTTAACTTTATAATGCTATAACTTATTAAAAAGTGTATGGATTAATACAATTTTTTTGAGAAATAATATTTATATATCCCTCTTTCATTCGACATCCTTTTTTTTAAATAACAAAATTTCCCTTTATATATTTATATATTATAAATATATATAGATATTTATTTATTTATATATTACTCTTATAAACCATAAAACTTGTAATCAGGATATAAATAAGGAAATAGGAGATCATGTAGCATTTGGAATAATCCATCAGTTTTTTAAAATTAAACATTATCTACAGATTTGCATCAAAGCGTTTTTTATGATAATGATTTTAATCACTGTCAGATATCAATATACTTGACCCAACTATGCCAAATCCCCACTGTGCTAGGTATTTTTTAATTATTATTATTTTTAGAGAAACTTAGTGGTCAACGAGAAAACAATCATTCAGTATATAAAATGATGTATTCATTTACATGAATATAACTGTTAAAAAATCTATGTCAATATAATTTTTATTTTATTATTTTTTAGATGATATCGTCGATTGAAAAATAAAATAATTTAAAGTTATTTTTTTAGTATAATTGATGTATCTCAATAAATAATATTAAATTCCAATGAGAAATAGATTTTTTTTTAATAAGATAATTTTTATAATTTATGTCTAATTTTCTAACGTATAAGTTGTTGACCAGGAATACAAAATAATTACTTCAAATGATTTTTTAAACATTATTAATTTTTTAATAAGGGTGAATCAAATGATATAAAGAATACTAGCAAAAATACTAATCCTTGGAGATTTGTTTGGATTGTTGATTTTCCCCTTTTTGAAACAAGTTCTAATGGAAAATCAATTCAATCAGTACATCATCCTTTTACTCAACCACAAGAAGAAATCACTTCTTCAAATATACTTAAAGTAAATTTTTTTTAAATATTCAAATCATAAATATTATTTTATTAGTTATATTTTATATTAAAAGTTATATAACTTTAATATTTCTTTGGTAAAAATAAATTTTTTTTTATTTTACAATAATAATTTCTGTATTTTATGATTAAAAATTAGCATGTTATAAACAAAAAATTTTAACCACTTTTAAATATAATTATTTATTATTATTATAATTTTTTTTATTTATTAAATAAATTGAGTTTTTCTAGTTATTTACTATTGATTTGGAATCAAATAAAAAATTTATGTTTAGCTTTAAAACTCAGTTTCTTCCTGTTGCCTATCTAACTAATGAGTATTATTTATTAGCTAAAAGGTAACACTTACCAATATTTTTCTTTCTGGAAACATATAAACGACTCTTTATTATTTTAATTCATTCAACCATACATAATAATCATTAATCCTTAACAATTTTTGGATAATATTGTTTTTTTATTCTATTTAATAAAACAAAATTGTATAAGAAAACTTTACATAGTACTAACAGAATTTTTGACTGTGTTAGTTAGTTTGCAAAATACATTTTTTTTTTTTTTTTTTTTTAGATAAAAATATATCTGTTTACCACTTTATATTTTAATTTAAATGACACTTTTATTTTTCATAGATTGATAAAATGCAGAACATATTTTTTTTCACTGTTAGTCATAATTATTTTTTATTTTAGGTAAAAGGATACCATTATGATTTAGTTCTTAATGGATGTGAAGTAGGTGGTGGTTCAATTCGTATACATGATGCAGACTTACAAACTAGAGTAATTGAATCTATTTTGAAAATACCTATTCACAGTATGTCTCATTTAATTGAAGCTTTAAAGTCTGGATGTCCTCCTCATGGCGGAATAGCTCTTGGTAAAAAATATTTTATTGTAACAAATGTATTTATTGTAATGCTTCTTCTATTATTTTATAGGAGTTGATAGATTATTATCTATTTTATGTAATACAAATAGTATTCGAGATGTTATAGCATTCCCAAAAACATTTGAAGGAAAAGACTTATTAACAGGTGCTCCATCAGAAATAACTGATGAAGATAAAGAAAGATATTACTTGAAATTTGAAAAGAAATAAAATTCTAAATTTTAAACAAATTTCTAATTTATTTAATTTAGCTCATAATGAAATATGTAATATTGTAATATTACCATATGTCACACGAGTCTATGTTTACACTTTCATAATTATGAAAATCTGTTATGATATTGTTTTGACTATTGAATTCATTAATACACCCACGAAAATTACCTTTAAATAAATCTCGTCTTATTAAAAAATTTTCTTCTGGAACACCACCTTTAAACAATTTAAAATATACATATTTATTGAAAATTTGATAAATATTTGGTACAACACTAAAAGAAAGAATTAGTAATCAATTTTACCCAGATAAATAGTATTATCATTCAAATGATTTTCAATATTGTGCTCATACGAATTTGATACCCAATCATCTACTTCAAGAGTCATTTCTAGTCTAGTTACGTTTAACCTGACAGTATGCCATTCACCATTTGTAATATTGTTTACAGGTGTAGTCAATGTCAGAGGTATCAAGTTTTTTTGACCCCATACCATAGTTAAAAATTCATTTACTATTCCAAAACCTAAATACCAGTCTTCCTATGCAATAGAATTTTAATTTCATTATATTTTATATAGAAGATTAGTTACCTATATTATATTAATAATATTATTACTTGTGATGTCCATAAAATTAGTCCATTATTATAAGTTGTTGAAAATTTTAGGCTTAAAAACTGGATACTATTAGTTTTATCATTACCTTTGTCTTCTCGTTTGGTAAGAGATGACAATTTATTAAGAACTAAGTGTCCATGTCCTTTAAAAAGTGGCGGGCCTGTAGGAAGCTCTAAACATTTTAATAAGAATTAGAATCTGATTGTTAATAAATTAATATACTTTTTACATACATATACTAGAAGTTTTTAATGCTTACAATTTATGGGAAAATGTTGACTAATAGTGAATAAAATGTAATATTTGTGTATAAATTTTAGTTATTTAATCTCAAAAGTACATAACTTGTATGTAAAAATAACGTTTATTAAAAGTATACTAAGGTAAGGGAATTTTTGGATTATTTCTTACACTATATGTAAGAATTTTTTTTTTTACCGCATATAAGTGATTATTAATACATCAAATATTTAAAAATAAATTGAATTGTAAACATTAGAATTAAAAAAAATAATTTTTTACTTAAAATTAAAGGTCAAAAAGAAAAATTATTTAAGAGATTCTATAAAGAACTTTCGCAATTTTAAGAGTGTTATCCTTCTATTTATGCTCATGTTTCTTAAACTTTAAGTTTAAAGCGATATTTTAAGTCTTAATATTACATCGTATTATTAGACTGAAAAAATATATATTATTAATGTAATATATATATATATATATATATTAAAATGGGGCGCTTTTTAGAAAGAAATCGAGTTCTTTTGTTTAAACAGTTAATACTAAAAACAATCATTATTAAGTCATAGTACGAAAATCCTTAAATTCAAATCAACTATAATGGTGATAATAATAATATATTATATCTGTATGCCAAAGGTAAACTATTAAAAATTAAGGTTAAACATTTTTTTAAATGCTTATTAATTGAACATTTCAAAAATGATATCACCACATTAAAAAAAACGGTAACACAGTGGAGTCGCGGCATAATGTGAACGTGGCATAGATAAAACAACTATAGATGATATTTGACAGCGATTAAAATTACTATCATAAGAAACACTTTGATGCAAATCTGTAGATAGTATTTAATTTTAAAAGATTGGTGAAAAAAAAAATGAATTCCTATTTCCTTCATTATTCCTGCTTAGTAGTTCTTCGATTTAGAAGTATAATATATGAAAAAATATTTATTATTTCATTTAAATATAGTATGAGATTTATATTTAACAATTTAGTATTGTAATTTTCTCGGAGAATTTATAAAAAATTATAAAATGGTTATTACTTTTATAGCAAACGTGTACAAAAATTGAAGGACATGATACCAAACTTTTCAAAAAATAATTTGTTGTTAATGGTTTTACAAAGAATTTTCATCAGATCATAAATAAACTTTTATTATTTAATTTTTCGTGCTAATTTCAACCCTGCAATTAGATTTTTTCTATCACCACTAATTTTTGATATTATTAATAATTAGTTAAAAACTATAAGATATATATACAGGGTGTAAATCTTTCGAACCATAGTAATATATAGGCGAGTATCCTTGGAGTGTGTAAACAATGACCTCGTTTTTTTTTTTTTTTTTTCCCAAAATTGGGGAAGTTTTGGAATAACCCCCCGGGATTTCCCCAAAAATAAAAATNAAAGATACACAGTGTTTATTGTTATTTATGACTTTATTGGTAAATAAACTTTCTGATTTGCAAGTCGGTGTATTTATAAATGTTAACTCAACATTGTGGCATAATTGTGCCTTAAGAACTACCATACTTAAAGCATATCTATTGATAATGAACATTGCGTATCTGTGAACAGCGACGTCGTAAAATCTATTAACTACCAGTTAGTATAACACCTCCTATATCATACATGTATTTTAACTAAAAAGTTTGAAACTTTAGTGTTATATAATAAGAATTAATCACTTCTGGCTAAAATATTTTTAATTTTATAAGTTTCATATCAAGGGTTTATATCTAATCTCCTGTATTTGTAAAGTTTATTTTAGTTATCCCGAGTACATCAATAATACACAGATATTCGTTTCTATTTTTCATAATCCTAATCGATGAATTTATTACATCGATTAGGATATATATATCAATATATTATCAAGTGACATATACTAACCTTTGGAACAAAATGGTCCATCCCAACCGGGAGGACAAATGCATATGAATGAACCATTATTGTTTTGAACACAATGACCTTTGTTTTGGCAATTAAATTCACTGCATGGCATTTGTATACTACACGAATCTCCAACAAATTCCTTTAAAAATTATTTATAATAAATAAAATAGCTTTTTAAGGAAAAAAAAAATGTCGCATACTTTTGGACAATGACAATGTGGCTTCATTTCCATATCTAACCAACAGTTACCTCCATGGTAGCAAAGATCCCCACCACAAGGGGTTCCATCACAATCTGCTATATTTCTACCAGTAATAATAGTATGATTATTTAACGGAATTACTTCATAATCAATTGTTAATCTGCGAATACAACCAGTAAATGGAACAGGTAATCCAGACGTGGCTCCTTGAGGTAAATCAGATAAATCCGACAACCCACCTAAAAATGATTTTATCTGATTAATTCATAGTTAAATTAAATTCTATAAAACTCTAAACCAAATTTATTTGAAATTGATTTAGAATTTTTCAAAATTAAATTATTACTTTATTTATGGACACTTTTTGTAAATCTATCGATACTCTCATCTTAATTAAACTAATGTCATAAATAATGCAAAAATACAATTACCAAAAAGCTCATGTGCAGTGGGAATAGTAAATATCAAATTTTAGGTAAGAATAAATGAGTATGAGTATGTTAGCAAGAGCGGAATATGCATTATGAATATATATCAGTATGAACTATACCCACTCGCACTACATACCCATTTAATGGATAAAAATTATTTTATCTTAAAAATTATCGATTAAAGTAAGTTTTTAAGTACTTATCCTAGAATTATTATTAGCTTATAAAAGATTTTATGTAAAAAAAAAATTAAAATGACTATTTTGAAACTTAAAATATTTGCTGGATTAAAAGTTATTAAAGACGTCAAAACATGATGGGACACCGTGTGTATATAGAATAAATTACAAAGATATGACAAATTTAATAACATTATTCAATTATTATTTCGTTAAAATTTTTTTTTAATTATTTAATAATAATATTGTATATTATTTTTCTTACGAACAATTTTGATGAATCTATGATAATTTATTTGATAAGTACTTATCAAGTTACAAGCATTTGAAGACATACAGACGTTATTGAACACAAGCGAAGTGTATGTACATCAGTATGTATTGTACCCACCCGCCATAAATACCTACTTAATGAATGAAGTGCTATTAATTCAATAAATATTTGTCTTAAAATTAATATCGACCCATCAATATTGTTTGGAGATGACTAAAAAATATTATTTTCGAAATTATAAAATCAATTTTAAATTTAAATTTTCTTTTTTATCAGTGATAAATAATACAAAAATATACTTTGAACGTAGTAGTCTAAGAAATCAATAGTTACTAAAAAAAAATTCAATCGAAATGATAATAACAAAGTTATTTTAAGAAAATAACTCGTTTAATAACAACTTTTGAACCAGTATTTTGGAAGTTATTGATATTTTTATACTGAGGCAGAAAGAAGACTATGGCTGGGAAATGACTAGTGATAAAAATAGTACTTGCATTTTTCTTCCTGTCATCACTATATTAATTACCTAAATTTAATGAAGCATCAAAATCAATAGATCCATCAAACGGTTGCAATATAGCATAGTTGATCATTCCATCAACCCACAAATATAGCTTACGGCGGTATTTACCAACTCTTACGCTATGCCATTCGGACATTTTTAATACTCTGCCACTGCGTACAACTATCACATCATTAGCGTGGTTTATTTCGCCTATTAATTTATAAAATGTTTTATAATAATTTAAAATCTTACATGGAAATAATATTTTACCTTGAATAGATATCCTTAGCTCAATAACACCGCCATACATTGAAAGACATAAGAATTTTTTTGGGGGGTTATCATATAGAATGAAAAACAAAATACCATTATCAACAGATGGCTTGATTTCTAGTTCAATGCTGAATTGTTGTGTGTTAGACTCAGTAGCCATTGCTACAGAAATAAAAGACCGTTTTCCTAAAAATCTTACATCAGATAGTTGTTCTTCACGTTCACAATATTTCCCAGATCGGCCAACTGGACAATCGCACTCAAAAGTATTTCCAACTGGTATACAAGTAGACCCATCGAAACAGCTATGACGATTTGAGTCACAAGTATTATACCGATGAGCACAAAGTGGACCAAACCAGCCATCAGTACAAATGCATCTATAAAAGATAACAAAATAAAATTCAACATTAATAATATTACACAACTAATTCATTTTTACACGAATATGTATTTCTTTAACTAAAAGTTTTAACATATTTAATTATTAATCATATTATTAATACATTTTTTTTATCAAAAATATTTTAACTAAAAAAAAATTTCACTAAGATCACATTAGTATTCAAAAAAATACAACACCTAAATAAGAAACGCCACATAAAGTGTCAATAAATTTGAGCATTGAGTATTTTATTAATAAAATGGCTTTTATTGTTGATTAAATAAAAATTAATCGTGTAAAAATTTAAAATATTGTTTTGTTTATCTTTAAAATCTTCTCTGAAATATTTAACGAATATTTCAAAATATTAATATAAGAAAAAATATTTAAATATTTATTAATGTGATTATTTGGTATAAATAATTTAGGGGGAATTGAAATAGAAAAAAAATAGAGAATCTTTGAAAATATTGAATTGGTGACCTTTTTTATTTTTTTTTTTTTTTCCACATGCAAAATTGTGTAAATTAAAAATTAAATTGTTAAAATATATATGTGTCTTCTAGCAATCTGACAATGCATATATAATTTATAAATTTTTTTATTTGTTAAAAAAATTAACTACTGATTAATTTTTATTCGTTACTAATAATATTTATATTTCCATACGCTAAAGAAGAACCATGCTGAATACATGCTCCATTATGTTGACATATATTATTTCGATAACATTCGTTTGTTGAACACTGGGATACAGATCTTCCAGAGTTGACAGCCGAATAAGCTCGAGATAAACTTAATGGCACAGTCATTCGACCAGCTTTGAGTTGAATTGAACTCATGCACCCAACAAATCCGGTGTGAAGTGGCAAATCATGAGGAAGATCTGTCATTCCTGGAGATTCGTGTCCGCCTACAGTTATACAAAAAAACTGTGATTAAATTTCTTTAATAACGTTTAAATTCTGAAACCTACCTAAGTATAAAACAGGATTAGTGTTCAGTTGTGTTAATCGACCAGCAGAGTGCCCTGTTATATTAGGAAAATTGTCCACAGCCAACCATGCAGTCTTACCATTTCTACCAAGCTTTACCATGTGGGCTTTGTTTGATTGAAAGTTAATCGGTTTTGGGGTAAATATCCTCCTGGGTCCAGCGCCCAAATTCCAAGTTAAAACTATAAAACCTTTGATGAAACTCAATGCTACATGATCAGAAGCCGTGTCATGTCCAATGTACATCATTAAAGATATTTGATCCATAGAATTTGGAACGAAATTCATAGTTAGCTCAAAGCTCTGTTGTATTTCAGCAGGTATAGAATAGGCGGCATATGACGAAAGACCACTAATACTTCCCGGAAAGAAGGGATCGTCTATTTCAAGATCTAAAAAACAATTTCACTAATAAATAATTTTAATAAATTCATTTTAAAGTTTTGAAAATAAAAAATGTTTAGTTAGATTTATTTTAAAGTGTATTATGACTGTTCTATAATGCATACCTTGTTCACAATACATTCCATGTTTACCCAAAGGACATAAACATATAAATCCGCTTCCTGGATAAATCACGCATGTAGCGCCAAATTTACATGGATTATTTTCACAGATCGATTTTTCACAATTTTTTCCTATAAATCTAGAATATAAAAATGAAACCAGTTGGGAATGCACAAATAATTTAAATGTATTACCCAGAAGGACATAGACAATTCCATGAATCTCCAAACTCAACACATGTAGCATAGCTTTGACATGGACTTGACAAGCATGTCAGTGAAGCACATTCGACGACTCCATGACCGTCAAATGCACTGTCGTAGACATCATGAGCAACTTCGTCTATCTAATACAACAATAAGATAACAACTTTTTAGTCAGGAAAGTCTGTTAAAAAAATTATGTTTTATTCTATATGATTTTATCTGTATTTATTCATAAATAATGAAACATATTTATAAAATTGTGCAACTTAAATTAAGTTGAACCTTAAAAATTTACTTTTAAATGTGTAACACAACCGGCAATTCCTATGGTGACTGGTATTTCAGTAAAATTTTTATTAGGCGGAAAACCACCCACGTACAATAAAGCTACTTTTTTATCTGATGTTGTGTCAGCTACCTGTTCTCCACTCATAGCCAACGTATCATTAACTCTCAATGATGCTTTACAAAGTTCAGTCATAGAATGAGACAAACTGTGCTCCAGCCTAAAAATATATAAATATAGCCAGTGGTATTTTCATAAAAATATCACATCCCTTACGTAGCTGTTAAAAGAAGACGATGACCTGTATTCACTCGATACCTAGTTTCACTAAACAACATGGTTTGTACTCCACAAGAAAATTGAAATTTCAAAAGACCATCCTATGAATAAAAATTAATCAAATGTTTATAAATAGTGATTTTAATCCGATTACTATTATTACTTGCAAATAAAGACACATATACATATGTGTCATAACTTGTGCATAAAAAAGTATACCATTCGGTGCCAAAGTTCTGATCTCCATAGCTATTTGAGTACCATATCGATAAGAAAGTCTATGAGTGAGATATGATTTTCCTGTAAATGCTGGAACTTTAATGTTTATTTTTTTATCGCAAATTTCTCCTTTCCACCCAAAAGAACAATCACACTAAAATTAGAAAAATTCAAGTTAATTGTATGGTTGAAAAATCAAAATTTATTTGAAAAAAACTTATTTATTATGTACACAATAAGTATGGTAAAACAAATTATCATCCTATCATATCTCGCTCGTGGACGTGCTCACGAAAAAATATTTAAAACAAATGTCAAATAATGAAAATATTTTCCCTCATCTTAACTACAATAAAATGAGAAAAAATGGACTTAGATGGTTTGGTCATGTTATGAGAAGAGAGGAATCGGAAGCTGAAATAACAGTTATAAAAATTAATGTTGAAGGATGAAGAAGTAGAGGAATACCAAAAAAGAGATGGAGGGATGTAATTGAATGGATATGAGGAAGGCTGATGTGAGCGTAAATGATGTAAGAGATTGTGTCAAGTAGAAGTTAAGGATTAGTGAAAATAATGAAAATAATTATGTAATAAAAATCATTTTTAATTTTCGAGAACATCTTTTCTAAGACAAAATCCTAGGAATACTCCTAACGGCGTTATTGTTAATTGTTATTATTACTATTACGTTATTGTTATTATTAATGTATAATTATCTAGTAGAAAACTATAAACTTTTAATTTTTACGTTAAATAATAATATTAATAGGTTTTTCTTATAAAGCCTATGCACAATTAGAGAACTTGGCAGGCTTATCAATTAAAATTAAAAATTTTTTTTTAGTTGCGCTTATGCTGATAATTACTATAAGTAAAATAAATTACAAACCTTGTAGCCACTTTTTAATTTCATACATTTTCCATTTAAACACTTAGCACATACCAAATATGAGCTGCCCGAAGAAATATGTTCAGTAGAAATATCCATAACTTCAGTTAAGTTTATATCAAATTTAGTAAAGACTTGATCTGTGGGTGTGAATACAGGGTAATCAGTTGCCACCAGCGGAGTTCTTGTAGGTGCGACTGTTTTTTTCGGGTATACTGACGTCACTTGTAAATCAGAAATTATTGTCTGATAGGTGTCAAGTTGAGGACTATTAATCGTGCTATATTCATCTAGTGTATCAGTAGTAAAAATTTCATATGGTTTTTTCGTCCCTTTAGAGGTACTTTTTATGCTAGGAAACATTTTCTCTGTAATACTTTTTACAGTTTCAGTTAAGATTATGGAATCTTCTACTGTTCTTTCTTTCGTATTCGGCGTAAATTCTGTTGTGACTCTATCAGAAATTGTACTTTGGACCGCAGTAGTATCAAAAGTTCTATAGGAATCTGATATTTGAGTTGTAAAATGAGATGTCGATAAAATTGGTCTAGAAGTGGTAGCTTTTGAATTTGAAGTGGTAGTAGCTAACGTAGAAAAAATATGAAAACCAGTAGTAAATGAGAATTCATCATTATCAATCGAAAAATTTGTTCCCGATAGATCATTAGAAACAATTGAAGTAATGCTATCGAACATAGTTGTGGATGGTAGTTCCGTTGAAGAAATTACATAAGGTTTTATTATTCCAGTACAGTTCATCAGGCTATCAAACAAAGTACATTCACAACTTTTTCCTGTAACTCCTTTTGGACATAAACAAGTATAACCATCGATACCATCAATGCAAGTACCGCCATTTAGACAACTTCAATATAAAAATAGATTAATATTTTCGGATAAAATTTCTATTAAAAACAGTAATTATTAATTTTTGTTTTCTAATGTAAAAATTAACTAGTCCAATTCTTTAATATGATCAATTTTATATAACTAAATTAATATTAAAACTCATAAAACTACAGATAAAAGTATAATGTATTATAAATTAATAATTTTTCATTATTTAATTTCATTACCTATATAGTATTATTTTATGTTAAAAGGTTACTAACATAAAAAGAAAACTGTATTAAATATTCTATACATAATTTAATATATAATATTATATCTATATATAATTTTGTTTTTCTATAAATATTAACTACGTAATAGCGTAGTATCAGAGTATTAATAACTATGTAGATTAATCTAAATTTAAAATTGAGCTAGTTAAATCTATACCCATATTAATGACACCCTGGACAACATTGTATTAAAAAAAAAGAAAACCTGTTTCCTAGTTTGCATTCATCGTATTGGTATTGGCAGTGCTTTCCGTGATAATCAGGAACACAGTAACAAACAGGCATGTCTCGTTCAATTAAGCATAAAGCTTTATTTTGGCACAGATGGGAATCACATAAACGTAACGCTACATCGCAATTGTGTCCCGTATAACCTTAACAAATACAACTGAAAATATACAATTTTATAAACTGGATGATTAAAAACAATTTACCAAAAAGACAAGTACAATAATACGAAGTTTGTTTGTTTATGCATATTCCACCATTTTGGCATGGTCCTGAATTACATTGATCTATGGCTTTTTCACAAGTATCTCCAGTCCATCCTTAAAAAATTAAATTTTTTATTTTTCAATATCTTTTTTACCTTATAATTTACAACAATTTATGTACTAATATTAAAGTTAATAATCATGCAATTAATATTAATCCAATATAAATATTTTTAGTTTTGCATGATTAATTGAACTACCTGGAGGACAATTACAAGTGTAGGACATGCCTGGTCCTTCTATACATTCGCCACCATTATTGCAAAAAAGTTCACCAGTTGAATTGCACACAGCCAAATCAATTTCGCATAAAGCTCCTGTAAAATATATATAATATATACGTCCATTCAAGATAGCCTCAATTGCATAATTAATTAATTATTGTAACAATTAGACTTAAATTAATAATAACTATGGTATAGTTACTATATTTTTGAAGAAAAATAATAACAGATATCGATAAGAATAGTAGCATAACTTGAAAAAAATGTATTTTACAGGAGAGGCAAAATAAAATCAACAATTCTCCACTATATACATACTTTTTTATTTTTACAAGTCTCTAGCTAGACGCTAACGAAAAATATTATAACTAAAATAATGGAACTTTTATGTGCTCAAATTTAGCGTTTTTTTTTTTTAAGTTTAATTCTTTATGTTATTGCAAAATCAGAAATTATTATTATTTTTTAAATAGTTATTATACATACCAATAGGCCATATAAATTCCACAAATACTCCCTCCTTTTTTACATAACTTTTGAGATTAATTTAATTTAAATAGAACCAATGTTTTGTTTATATAAGGCGCATTTATAGGCAATATTTCAATCATAATGACAAATAAGTTATCTGCAGACAATTTTAAATACAAAATATTAACAGAACAATTATTTAATAAGCGAAGCGTAGGGTTTCTCTCCACGAAATCTATTTGTGGCTTAGCAGGCCTAAGCGTCAAAAATTTAAAAATACATTTTTATTAGGTAAAATCAACCTAAGTACTTATCAATAAATTTTTTTGTTAATTTTTTCATAATATTGAATTTTGTATGCCAATACTGTGGAAAAAATTAAATTTCAATAATAATAATATAACTTGTAGAAACTAGTACCCAAATATAGAGCTGTCAATGACACCTTATGAAAAAACAGAATAGTTCCTACAACTATTCCAAACAAAATTTTTTGATACTTAAATCACACCTCGCCTCATTTACAACTTAAAAATAAAAATAAAAAATATAGGCTCGATTTATACAAAATATATTTAAAAACTGTACATACCTGAGTAGCCATAAGGGCATTGGCACACGAACCGATTAGTATAGTCAATACAGGTCCCATTGTTCTGGCACGGGTTTGATTGACACTCATCAATATTTAGTTCACAATTATGTCCTTGTAGGTATTAAAAATAGATTAATCCTAAATCAAAACAGAATTTTATTATGTATTTTTATTACCCGTGTACCCGTCTGGACAAGTGCAATTGTAATCTGCAATTCCATCTACACACATTCCACCATTATTGCATGGTGATGACCAACATTCGTCCCAATTAGTTTGGCACCGAACACCAGTATACCCATTCATACAGTAACATGTATAAGTACTGAAATAATTAACTTATTATATATTTATTATTTATGATATCAGAATTAATTTACTTCATTATGTCTCAACTACAAAATCAAATTAATATATGACAATAATAATAAATTTAAAACATTATGTGTCAACTTGAGAACTTATATAATTAAAAATAATTTTTATATACCTGTTTATATGATCAACGCATATCCCATACACACACGGGCTACTGGAACAGCCCAAAGTAACAAACGGATTTCCGATCACAGAAATTGTGTTCCTGTTTACTGTTGTGGCTGTAGCAACAGTTACAATATAATAAATGTAACTCAAAATTGATACAAATTTTTTTTTTACAAGCATTTAGCATTTCTGTTTTAACATCTGTAAAAATAATGTCAAATTAATTTAAAACATTCAACATACATCTTACAATTTATGGCGTGTACATGATTTCATTATAAATATTAGAATATATAAAAACAAATTTCCCTAGTCCTTTGATAAAAAAGTACCTACATTATTTTTTAATTTTGCTGTGATAGAATAATAGGATACGGTGGGGAAAGTTGTTACCCGTACATTTTAATTGAATTTCTAAAAGTATTCACTATAAAAACTTGATAGAAATACTACTTGATACATTTTGAACAATTCATAAAAGCTCATTAATTGATATTTATTATTATTTAAAGAATAATTCCTGAAATAATAAAACTTTTTTTTATTAAATAATAATTATTATTAGTTAAAAAAAAAAAAAAATTCAAATTCGTTAATTTTCCCCAAGCGTGGGACAAGATAATTTTTTTAATGAGGCAAGTTTAATAAGGCATACCTTAGATAAATTTATATTATGCCAACAAATTGTTATACATGTATTTTTTTTTTAATTTAAATAGTTTAAATATTTAATTTTTAAAACCTAAGCAGAGTGATTCTTTTAACGCTAGTCCTCGATTTTTTTAGAAATAATAATTATTTTTAGAGCAATAATATTTTATATTCATATATTTCTGGGTTTGTCAATTATAATATAGAGGAGAATTTTATAAATTGGTTTTATTTAAATAACTCCTAAAATTACACAAATTAAAAATCAAGATTTCAACAACTTGTATAAACTACAAAAAAAATTCATTTTTATGTAATGTTTGTTTTTAAAAATTATAGAAATTTTCGATTTAAACATTATATTTTTTTACGTTATTCATTTAATTTATGGTAAACAAGAGATATTTATTTAACTTTTAAAGGTAATGTCTTCAACTAGTTACAATTTATGATTTTGTGATGTATCGTTAAATAAAACTGGTCCTGTGACAACTTAGGAAAAGTAGTGATGGACACAAAAAAAAATAAAATAAAAACATAGTAAAATTAAATCCTTCTCAGCTTCGCATCGGAGCTAAAATCCGTTTACGCTGTATTACTTTTTAAATAAGTTCCATACATTTTAAATTTATCTTACTTGTAAATAATATTGTTAAATAATATTTACAAAAAAATTTATAATTCTTCCAAATTATAATATTTACTTTCATGAAATTTTTGTTTTTTTTTAGGGGTTCTCAATTTTAGTTTACGCTTGTAAACGTAGTATACCACTGGAGATAGAAAAAGGACAAAAATGATTTACCGTAGGGAGGTATTAGCTCTTAACACATCTCTGATTACTGTAATATTTGGTTTTAATTAAATAAATAGACAAACATTATAATTATTTAAAATGCAGTAGCGTATAATTGAAAATAAAATTAATTAAAATAATCCAAACTAAAGAACGTGAATAAATTATAAAAAAATAGTTATAAGAAGTAATAAAGTTTTTTAAACTGTGTCACGCGTTCAATGTTTGAAAACATTTTTCGCATTAAAAAGATGAAAACAAATGCCTACGTGATAACGGAAATACAAATTTTATTATGTACCAGGCACAAACAAACGTAATAGAAAATAAGTAAATAAACACGCACTTAAGTCGTTATTTAGATTGTTGAAATTACGTTTTTTTTTTTGCACAGCACCAATGTCATGGTGGTTTAAAGAAGTAAAATATTATAAAACAAACATTAAATACTTTTTAAGCATCCGATACCAAAGACATAGAGATGGTTGAAAAATAGCAAATTCCTCTATTTTGAATACCTAATGACCTTAAAGGAAGTCATTAAGAAATAAAATACTGTCGATGATACCTGTTGTCAACAAATATCTATTTTAGCGAGAATGCCGTTATTTAATTAATTTAAATCACACAAACTAATTGTATTGCAATAATGGCCATTGTGTTATGCGTATGCAATTTACACCCGTACCTTTTCTAAGGCTGAACCAAAATTGACCTATGAATTATACACAAACCCATAATTATTTTACTTGCAGTAGCTAAATTACACAAATTCATGTGGCAAGTCAAAGGTTGTGAATATTAGCCATTAAAAATAAAAACATTAAACACATTTGAAATGGGTTTTATTTAAAGATACCAAGTACATTTTGATTGCGTTTACGATGTATATTAAAGTTTTAGTTAAATAAAATTTTGGATTAAAAAACAAATGATACAAAAAACTTGAGAAAAGACAAGAACTATCTAATTTTTCTTGTAAAAATATTATAGGAACGGCCCATCGAGGACTATCTACTCTGCACGTCACACATCTTTTACACTACATCTTTAAAGAAATATGAAAAAAACTTTCTACGTGATGTCAGAAAGCAAAATAAACGTACTTTTTAAGCTTTGAGTGGATACCTACAATCTTTCATATAAGCAAAAAGATCTAAAGCTTCTTTTAATTTGATCAGTGAAGCCTCTTCTTTATATACTGATTTATTGGTTATAAATTATTAAATCGAAAATCTCACACATTTAGACTTAAACAAGTTTTTATAATTTTAAGAAAAGAAAATAATCTCTGATTTGAAGTAGTGAAAACATTATTAGAAATAAATTACTTTTAAAGTTCCAGGATAAAATTTGGAATGTTGAAGTAAAGCTTTTGAAACTGAATAAAGATTATGAATGACATCTTTTTTATTATTTTAGTTACTATTATTTGATAAAAAGCTTTAGAATTTAAAAATTCAGCTTCTAAATTTAACATTTTAATTTCAAAAAAATTTTAATTATCTAAAAACTCTTTTAAACAAGAATTATTAAAATTAAAATTATGAAGACTGGACAATAGAATATTTATGTATTTAAATGTAATAGTATGTATACAGAGTGTTTTTTATATAAGAAATTGTTACGAACAATGAAAACCATTAAAATCCGATTTCTTACTTACATATATATATATATTCTAAAATTAACTACTCAATCAAATTTATATCAAACTGACAGAATGATTTTTTTATCATTCCACTCAAGTAATTGAGCAAGTTAAGATAAAAAATCACCTTGTATATAATCAAACAATAATCATGAACATAATAAGCATTTATAATTTTGATATATTAAAACATACACTTATTCAATTATGTTTTTCATTTTATTAACAATAATAATTATTTAGAGTACAATTAAATATTGTTTGTTCAGTTGGAAAAATGTTTGCGTAGTTAAGCACGTGTAAATTGCAAAAATTTTAAATGAAAATAAGCTACAAAAATAAAAAAAGCTACTTTTTGAAAATATTAGTATTTTAAGAAAATTTATCTCAATAATATTATCATAATAGTGTAATCAAATTTTGAACAAAAGAAAAAACAGTGTAATTATTTATAGTTCAGTAAAGGCCAGGAAATTTTTCGGGGGTATGATTTTAATGAAATATTTAATATTTTATAATCATTTTTTTTAAATTACAATGTTTAGTAATTATAGTCATGGAATAAATTTTGTGAGAGAAGAAGGACTGCAATCTTAACCCCCTGGCTACACCACTAAGATTAATATCTTGGAATTTATTTAATTGTTATGACTCTAAAATAATACTTTCAAATTAAACGTTTTATTAAATCCATGGTTAATTCTATTAATTTAAGTAATAATTTCTTTAAATCAATGAATAAGATTTAGCATAAAATCAATGACATAATTTACTTTATTTAATCAATTTATTTTGTAGGCTAAAAATCGTGTCTCATTTTTTATTTTAAAACGTTATTTAATTATTTTAGTAAGTATTTTTCCGAGTGTAATAATAATAAATTAATAGCGTACTAGAATCCTTCCTAGAGACCCTATCATTCTTCATTATGTCTCTTATTGCATTAAACATAATACATATTATGATTGATTAAACCTTTAATATTTATAAGTACCAAAAACTTTTTACTTTGCTTTTTATTAAAAAGTATAAAAACTAATTGACAATTAATAATACTGATAATTAATACATTTTTTCAGAAATCATAAATTTATGACATATAAAAAATTGTCTTTAATTAATTAATTTCGCCGCAAATTCTAAAAACTAGATAAGTTAATCTCAAACATTAAAAAAATTTTTGTGAAAAATAATTTTTTCATATCATAACGTATTAATTAACTAATACTTCAAACAACTATAAAATTGCTATAGTTAATAATTACGTCACTAGATTTAATATTCATTTCATATTTTGATGGAGAAAACAGTAGAACATATTACACGTTTTGAATATGAATTCAAATTGTTAACTATTAAAAATTGATATTTATTATATATGATTGAAAAAAAGAAATTATAGTAATTTTTAAGGATTTATAATTTGAAGATTAAAAAAAGTTTATTCAGCCAAAACTTACAAATTACTAAAACAAACATAATTTATTTTATTTTTTCTTTAATTATTTTTAATTTTAAAATATAGAATGCATATTATACATATATTTCTCATGGACTCTAAATAAATATTATAAATTTTTAATTTCTAGCTACTTGAACAATTTTTATTTAGTATTTATTCGTATCATTTTTAATTAAAACAATGCATATATATAAAGTTAGTCATAACTAGTATTTAGTTTGTCTTTTAATTTTAAACACAATTTGATTATGTAATCTATAAAATTAATCAAACATCTATTATCTTAGTACAAAATAATACTAATAATGAATTTTAACTATTTTTTTTCTAAATTTTTATTCTCTACACATTTTTTTAAAAACTCAAAACAAATATAAAAAATTAAAATACAGTAGCGATTCAGTAAAGTGGAGTTGAGGCATTTTTTCGATTACTATTGATTAATATCACTGTTATAAAATGCTATGATGCAAATTTGAAATGAATTTTAAAATAATTACATTTACCAAAAGTACATGATTTTTGACATCGGAGACCCAATTACTCATTGAGAACAAGCTACCGGAACATATTTATTACATTTCTTTTTTTTTACTATACATGTATTGTATATTACACTCAACAAGCTTTAATTTGAAATAACTTAAAAATGAATCCGAATATTCTCTGGAATTATACAAAATAACTACAAAATCGTTTAATATACTTAAAATTTTATGATTATCAATTTTATTCATTAATAATTCATTCAATAAAATTGATAATCATTCATAATTCAATATTGATTGAGATAGTTTTTCTTTTTTCATCAAAAGTATAATTTTGCAACAGTAATTTTAATTACTATCACTACTAAATTAAATAATTTCCTCGAATCCATTATGCCTGATTATGAATGTTCTTTATTATAACTATAAAGTTCTGTTATATTTTATTAATTATTATTAATATAACATTACATGTTTCACATAAAAATATATTAGTAAATATATTTTTTATATTTTTACTTGACATAGGTACTTTAAATTATAATTAATTTTCTGATTTTATTTTACAAAGACAATAAATCTTTGCTTTGTTTATCTGTAAACATTTCTGATCATAAAAAATTTTACTTTAAGTTTAAAAGTTTATCTCCGAACTTTTTGAACACAAAAAACGATACCTTATTATACTTTTATGAATTTTTTTAAGAAGTTTCTGTTACAAGTTACTTATTTCAGATAATTATAATATTAACTCGAAGAGTAAAATTTAATATTTCAGATGATTTTTGAACACTGCTAACACTTTATCAAACGATCTGATTATTATTATTATTAATAACTATTATATGTTTATATTATAATGATATATCGAGTTTTGAATTTAATCATATTTTTATATTGATAGTTTTAGATTTGATAATCTAATATCGATTTTTGAAAATTTTTAATTTGTTACTATTAGATAACTATCGAACTATTCAAATAATTATAAATGGGAAAGACTGGAGACAAAAATGGCGTGGGTAAATTGTAACAAGCTCATTATTTACTTTATGATGTATAATAAGAATAGACTGATTATATTATATTAAACAAATAACTATAACTGATAACAGTGATATTACTGCACAGCCCTGATATTTTTCTATGTAATTTTATTTTTATGTTACCCAAATATTATCCTACTTGATCTTATTTTAGGACTGTCTAATTATTTTATTAGCTTCATTTAATGCGATTTTCAGATTACACAAATGAATTTTGTTAGCTTGAACCAATTTGAAAAATGTTACAATTAATCCGAACTCGATCCAACCCGATTCATTTTTTTTTTTAATAGCCCAATTTCCAACTAGAAATATTCTGGTCCAATATGATAGTCTTCATATTTTGTAATCAATTTGACTTAATCGTTTTTCGTTAATGAATAAGTCAGGAAAAATTGATTTTGACGAACAAAAATAATTTTTTTTCTTTGACCAAATACAATGAAGCTCTTAAAGAAGTTATATAATGCTTTATTAAAAATATGGAGGATTACAACTTTTTTTTCGATTTAAATTACTTGTAATTAATTTTTTTTATCGTTTAATAGGTATTCTATTTTTTTATCAAATGGTAGGGTTAAAAATTAAAAAAAATTTAAAGCAATTTCTAAAAAAGTAATTAGGGGCAAAATATAACTTTGTCTCTGATCTCCTTTACTATTCGACATTTTAAAATATTCTAGAATGTCCATCACTAATATTAATTTTACATTTGACCTCATACATAATATATTTTAATAATTCTTTTTTCCCATAATATACGAAGCACAAGTAAAATTAACAACAATGAGAAATATTACAAATTAAATCTAGGATAATTTATGATAATGCATCTGATCTTCATTTTTATGTTGTAACTCCTTTTCAGTTCGGTTAACAAAAGTAATAAATCCGGTCGATATAATCATTTAATTATCCTAAAAAGGGTCAATGTACTCTGACTATAAGATATCCCAGATAGAAATTTTAAAGAATAATGATACACAAAAATAAAATAAGATTTATATAACATTACGTGCTATTATAACGTTATAAATATATTAGTGAAATATTATTAAAAAAAAAAGTTATAATGAGTAATTTAAGGTTTTTAGTAATAAAACAAAATAATTTAACACAAGAATCATGCATAATTCTTATTAGGGTTGGTCTGGCCTAGTGGGTAGAAACATTTGTTTCAGCGCATAAGGTCCCGGGTTGATCCCCAAAATACCAACGAGATTTTTCTAATGATTTTCTCATTGGTGTTGACTGGTATCTGGTACAAACCGGCCACAATACCCGCCCCGTTCATCATTTGCCAAGCCAAGAACCTTCTTTGACTCCCTAATATGTGAAAGAGGGCCACCACTCTTTGTAGCATATTAACTTCGGAAAATAAGAGTATGTAATACTGATCATTACTATGCATAATCCTTTAAATTTTAAATTACATATAGTCAAATTATTTATAATTCATTTTGAAAACGTGTCATGTCTAAAATACAACATTTCTGTTAAGTAAAATATTTTGTAATTGAATATAATCAAACATTTATAATTATACTTTTAAACGTAAACGAACGTTTTTTAATTTAGAATTTTATACACCTATTAATCGAATAGTGACATTATAATCGTATATACGGATAATAATAATAAAAAAAGATAAGGTTTCATGAAATCTAAATTAATAGATGTATAACATTTCATATGACAAATGATATACAATTTTTATTTCTTTTTTTAGATTATAAATAGTAGTTAAACAGGTAAACATATTTACAGAAAAAAAAGACAATTTTATTAAATAACATATTACCTTCAATAAATCACTATAATGTTATTTGTACTTGTTTCTATAAAATAATAAGTTTGAAATAACAATATTATAAAATAAATAATATATGACATCATTCTTTGATGTATTTTATATATATAAATAAATAAAAAATTGATTTTTAATGATTCCTTTGAACATTCTTCGAGCACGATTTAAGCAATTATTGAAGATAAAGTTTTATTAGGTTGAAAATGCATTTCAAAATTTGCTTACTGTTATTTTCATTTTATTTTCTTACTGAAGTATCGGCGGTAAGTAATTACAACTAATAGCATGACGACTATTAGCTAAATTAATCACTTCAATTTTCAGAGCCAAGTAGAGTATCTTGAAGAGCTCAATGAAAGTTTTAATTCGTTAAATAATCATACTAAACAAGATGAAATCGAAGATTTACTGAATGAGTGGGGAATTCAAGAAAGTTTCAATTTTGAAAATGAAGGTAATTTAATTTATTTATTTAATTAGTCAAACTCAATTGTATAATATTTAATTGAAATTAATCAATTATATATAGATGACAATAACGAAAAAATTAAACTTTTAATCAACATAACAAAACATTTTAAAAATGTACTAATATCCGAGGTAATTGATTAAAGCTATCAAAAATTATTAAATATTTTTAAGTTAAACATATAATCGCACAATAAATTATTTTTCGGGATAAGGATATTAATTCAACAATACTTGAACAAATTATCGAAAATGGTTTCAATTTTAGTCACGATGGTTTATTACTTCCAGAAGATATGGATAGACTTTATGAGACTCTTCAATTAAATAATAAAGAAAAATTTGTTAATAAAGTAAATAAAATTTTCAATGATCCAAATTCTGGTATGTTTAAATTACAATATATTAAATTAAATTTCTATATTCTAGAATATTTATTATTTCGTAGGTGCTGCTTATATTACTCTACCAAAATTAATTGAAATTATATTGACCAATGATAATGACCAATAATATGACTGTGAAAATATATATGTTATTGGTAAATAATACATTTATTCATTTTTCAAGTTCAGTGTTTAACGTAAGTTTTTTGAAATTGGATAGTTTAGATGAGTACATATTATAAAAGTAAATATTTTTAAAATAATGTATTTATATAAATGTACTATTTATAATTCATTTAATATTGATAATTTTAAAAGAAAAATCGTTTTAATAATATTTCTTTAATACTTCGCCCACAATAATGTTATAAGGTCATTTATAAATAAAATGCTGCCGTAGCCTGAAAATTAGGCTAAGTTAAGTCTATTTGAATAAAAATTNCGTAGCCTGAAAATTAGGCTAAGTTAAGTCTATTTGAATAAAAATTTTCCTAATAATAATGTATAAATATTTTTTAATTTATAAACTTATCAACAAATTTTCTTCATTTTAAAACGTTTAACTTGTTAATTTTAGTATGTCATTTTTACGTTTACAATCAATCTCCATAGATTATATCAAGTTGAAATTTTTATAAGTTAGGTTTAAGGTATTACATTAAGCTTTTAACATATGTTTTTTTTTTTTTTTTTTTAACAATTATAATGAAATTTGGCTTTAACGCCAAATAACTCTTAGAAATCGTGATTTAAGATTGTTTTACTTTTTTAATCTTAAAGTACATTGTATTACTTTTAATTTAATGTAGACTTAAAGAAGATTTGTTTTTAGAACACAATAAAAAATTGTAAATGAAAAAACTATATTTTTAGATTTTAATATTGTTATACTACTACAATTTAAAAAATAAATCAATGAATCCTTACTGTTTTTTTGTTACTATATAGACATTAGTTCTTCGGACATACTTAAATCCTATCATTTGTCTAATTATCGGGGATACTTAAATTTAGTAACATAGGCGCAAATTTGGGAGAAACTTGCTCGATCAAAAATACGTATTTATATAAATTGATATTATTAATAGAATTTTGTTGAAATAAATCATTACTCAAATAAACACATTGGCAAAGTGCTGTCGCATTTTCGTTCAACAATATTCATATTAATCAAAGTATAAAATGTATGTAACTCGCATTAATTATAAAGTGCATAAAAATTTTGCACTACAATAACATATTAAAATCCATTTATTGGATTTTCAACGGCACAGAATTATCATTATTACAGTTAACATTATATGAAATATAATCGCAGCACCTTATGTTATTAAAACACAATAGACACGCGCCGTTATGATAGTAAAAAACACGCTGTTTATTACTTTAGGATAATGACACACTTTGTCATTATAAACGCCTTACTGGATTTCTGTGTACGCTTACCTGGTCAAAGAGGAATCCCTTGCTCGTGGAACGCAGCACTGAGTACACTGACAGGCCATCGCGGGTCGACCCGTCAACTTAACGATTTACAGCGTAGCAACCGAATAGCATTCAATGACAACATAAAACTATTACGTACTAAATCTTAATACCTCGAAGGGTTTGAATTACATTCGTGTTACAATCAAAGTCAAATATTTATTGGTTTGGCAATGCAATAGTCATGTTAATTTTATTAACCTTAAGACGAATATAATAATCCACACAGGTGTCACAGAGTACATATGAGTTTACCCATAATACCGTCTCGTCATTAAATTAGTACGAAATATATAGAAACTGAAAAGTTCAATTTTAATATTATACCTACTATTTTGTCATGTAAGAAATATTTTTTAAACGCATGTAGAATACGTATTTTAATGCTTTCAGAGAAAAGTATTTAAATGTAAATACAAATATCATTCAAAGTATTCCAAATACTTCGAAAAACTGACTTGAAAAATACTTCGCAAGATATCAAGCGTTATTGTCGTTTTAGTTTCATTAACCAGATCTTCTGTTTTAAATACAATCAATTAAAAAAATCTTAAAAAGTATCACACTTCTTATTTAGAAATATTGTATAATTTTAGCCAGGAATTTTTCAAATATATGACATTATTATAATAAAAAAAACTTTAAAAAAGATCATAAATTTAAAATAAATATATGCTCAATTTGTAGAAATAATATTTTCACCTCTTTCTGTATACAATGCACATTTTATATAGTGAATTGATTCTTATTACTTATGTAAATAAAATTGTAAGATCGCCTAATACTATATTTTTTCTTGCTAAATAATTTAGGAATTACTATACAATATTTTCAAAGATTGGAAATATAATCGTGTACACTTTATCACTAATTATATTTTTATTAAATAATATACTTAATTATTATAAATATCGCTCATCGGCGATAAAAAATAGTTAAACAACTTAAACATTTTATTTTTAATATTTTTACTCTAACATTAATGAAATACACTAAATTTTATGTCATGAAAGTTTTATTGAATTAGTTTTAATAGTTTCCGATAGTCTTCCGAAAAAAATTATTTGTTATTCGATAGCATCGAATTGTCTATTTTTTCTCTCCTCTGTAAATGACTTCTTTTCAAGCTATCTCACTAGTATTGACGATATATATTTTACGTATAAAGACCTCTTTCCAATAAAATGAGGTGTATTTTTTCCGTGTATATTTTCTTAGCCTAATAATTAGACTTGGGGAGATTTATTGCGTCTTTGATAATAATTGCTGTGTAATATTTCTGTGCAAAATATTACAATAAGATCTTACGTTCTTAAAATGAGATAACTCAATAAATTTAAATTCTCATGAGGCTTACAGCATTGATTTTTAAAATTACGTATGATATTATAATGCAATAAGTTTCTAGCATATCTAATAATATTATTGTTTAAAATATTTGGTAATTTTAAAATTAACGTCAACCCTGTGTTCTGTCCATTGCATGTAACACCTAATGGCATTTCTTACGTAGACATCCACTTGTTTCGATTGGAATAATAGAGTACCATGGCGATTAAGGCTTTTAGGTAGACTCGTCGTAGTGTTATACAAAGGGACATGGTTATTAATTTCTCATTAGCGTCATAGCGTTCTTCTATAAAACCGAAAGGACAGTCATCGTGTGTAGCCATTCTCTAGATAGACCTGACCAAAGTGTCACACTGTTCGCAACTAATTTACAGTTTATGTAATACAGTAGTTTTAAAGTGTAGAACTGTTCAATTTTAAAACTTTGAAAAAAATGAACTCTGCGAAGACTAGCAGCAGCGTCGGTGGAAGCAACAGCTCGATGGACTACTATTTAAAAAGACAAAAGAACAACGAGGCTGCAAAGAATAGCAGATTGAAGAAGAAAGAGCATGAAATTGAAATTGCCAAGAAAAAACAAAAACTCGAGTTGACATATGTAAAGCTTCAAAAACAAATTAATCGTATGCAATCTGTTCGAGCATGACCAAATACAATGAAATTGATCTCAAAATATAACTCAGGTACATTTAAAAAATTCTTAATGCATACATTTTGTTCACTTATTAAATAATAATTAAAGTTCATTAAGTTTTCTATTTAAATATTTAGTTTTTAATAAGTAAAGTTAAGTTTTCGTTCATAAATTTTACTATGACTTATGGCAGGAATATCAATAAAAGTATTTAGTAGTGTAACAAAACAAAATTAATGTTTATTGAATCTTATTAGTATACAATTTATATAGATTTGCTGAATATTTATACAACCATTTTGTTATAGAAATGTATACTATTAAAAAAAAAGAAATTAAATAAATTAATAGTTATTTCTGCAAAAATAATTCTTAATAATAAAACAATATATTATTTTTTTTTTTTGTTTCAGAGCTGCATGGGTCTGCTGCAATCGTGAACACTTTATTATTTGTTTAATTTGTATACTTAATCAAAACTTATGTTTTTTTATAGATTACTGAAATTTTATAGAAAGACACTTAGTGTTAATTTTAACTATTATCTTAGAGATATATATCTTATTATATTATATATTAATAACTCAATGTATGAAACTTAACTAATTTCAAATATTATAAATAATTATTTAATTACTTAAATAAAATTTGTTTTGCATTATTATAAAACATGTGATATTATGATTTAATTATATTGTTTAATAAATGTGAATTTTTATTTAATTAGAGTTTGTAGACATTTTCATTTACAATATTTTGTGTTATCGTTGATATATACCAAAGTATACTTAAAATCAAAACAGTCTATGATTAGGATAAGGGCTTATTTATAGAGAACACAGGTACATGTGATTCATTTTAGTTTATTTTTTAATAAATATTATGAACCGACTTAATTACTTTTACATACACGTATTTTGAAACTATAATCAGCAATGCGAATGAAAATATAGTTCTTTCAAAATTAGAAAATGTTATTTTTAAAAAATACATACTATCACTATCGAGAAAAAAGGACAAATCACTTATTTTAACAAAACTTATAGTAGGATATAGTAAAATTTTGTTTTCATTTTATTGTCAGAATTGTTGTTAAATTTCTTTTTAAATTAAGTTTTCTTTTTATTATTTTGGATAATTGAAAATGAATTAAAATCAGAAAATGTCAATTGGACAATTTTTTTAATCACCGAGAGTATATAGAAGTGATTATTAATAGTTCTATTATAATAATTTATTATGATATAAATGCAAGAAAATATTAATTTTAACGAAACTTTGAGGTTTCCTTTAAAATATACTGTTAATAGTAATTATATAAGTTTTTGGCAACATATCCATCTAAGAAATACCATTTTTTAAATCCTCATAAAATTTCCTATTTAAAGATGTTACTTTCATTTGTATGTTAATTCAACGTAAGACGTTCAATTTTTTTTTAACAAAACATTAATTTAGAAAAGTATATTTTTGATTTAATGAAAATTACATATTGACCACTGTATTTATACATATTTAGAGGGGGCACATGGGTACGTGACTATGATGTGATGTTTAATGATAGTACGTCAATACATATATTTTGGCTTAGATATGAGCAAAAATTTTATTTGTGCCCTCTCTCCATTGTAAAATTCTAAGTATGTCCCTGGATTGAGAAATTTTCATTTAAATAAGATATATTATTTCATGCAAATTAAAAAAAACAATTTACAAAGTATAGATGTATAAAAATATTATCACCATTGATGTTTTGAGGAGAAAAATATTCTCCATCTTTTCCTACCCCCTTAAAAAGAAATGTTCATCCTCTAAAATGATATAAACTAATTATGCCAAAAATAATTCACATGTTTATAAATGATACTAAATCAGTATCATCCTAAAATGTAAATTTAAATTAATTTAGATAAAATAATCAGATATTTAATAAAAAAAAATAACAAAAAATTAAGTCATAAATTCATTTTTGAGAATTAATTTTTTACATTGTTACAATCTATAAAAATATTTATATATTTTGAGGTTGCAATGAATTATAAATTAAAAATGAAGTATATATGTGAAATCATTAAAATAATTCATTGACTATGCAAAATTAAACAATATAAGTGTAACTTAAAATCGGTATTATTGAATTTAACAAACCATGTTTGTTTATTTGTTTGAATCAGCATGTTTAATAATGTATAAATTAAATAGTTTGAAAAATGTTTTAAATATGTGACTAGTAATTAATAAATATAATTATTAATGGCATTATGTAATTCGAACAAGTAAAAAACTAAAATATAATATTTTAATTATTCATAACCTCTTTGATACAAATATTTATAACAAATTATTTTCATTATCTAAAACATGGTATAAATATAAATGTATTGTTATAAAACAAATTTATAGTATAAAGTTAAATAAAAAATTTATCACATAACTACTAGTGAGTAAAATTTTAAATTACAATACAAATTCAATTAAATAACAATTTTTATAATATCAGACATTCATTTTCTCTAATAAATATTTTTATATGTTTCAAAGTACATATTTTATAATATATAAACAATATAACGAACAAAATATTTGGGTTGTTGATTGTTAAGTTTCATATGTAACGTCGTATGTTTATAGCTCAAATAAAAAGCATACATACGTTGAGATATGATATTAAAATAATTTAAGTAATATCCTACGTTATTTTTAGTGGTGAAGTAATAATTTTCATTAAACTTATAAGAAAATACAAAGCTGAATACCATAACCGCTTAGTTGAATTATTGCACATTAATATGTATCTAACTGCAACAACAGCTAATGCTGCTTGGGTAACACGATGCAAGTAGTATAATCTGCAACAATTACAAATGGTTTATTGAATAAAAAACAACATTTTTAGCTTCACTGTGTAACTGAAATGCTATTGGTCTTACTGTACCGTTGTTTTTTTTGCGACACTGTATATGATTACTTCACACCTACTAAACCAATTTTTCCCAAAATACGTAAAAAAATTATAAAACGTAACTAGTTAAAGCTTTCAGCAACATAATTGTGGAAAATTCTCATTAATCACCGTAATTAAGTGATTTTTCAAAAAAATTCACAATTTTTATAAAACAATCAATATTGATTTCTTTAGTTTTCACTTTATATTGAAATAACTTTTTGTAAACTGGACGAATTATTGCAACATTTTTTGATAATACTTTAAACTATTGCCTTAACAACAATATACATTTTTTGAAAGTCTAATCATTAACCAAATTACTGTAAGAGCTATCAAAAAATGTTTTTAAAATTTGTTATTATACTCCAAAAAAACATGTTTTTTTAAACTCACATCAAACTAATATTAATATTTTGTTTTTTATAATAAAAAAAATATATCAATGTTTTATTTTTTTTTCTATTAAGCATAATATTTAAAATTATTTTAAAGCAAAAGTCGAGTCATTTCGACATTAAGAACTAATTACACATATGTAAGAGAAAAAGTATAACAAATTTAATTAATTTTTTTTTTTTTTTTGAAAGATACGACATTTAAAAATTATTGATAATGAAAAAATGTAAACATATTTTTGACTACGAGAAGGGGCGTCATTTAGGTGAAAAAACTTGAGTATTAACTGCAGTCTAATTTTTATTGAAAATTGGGACCGCTCAACCGCACATTTGTTGACTTCTTGAACAAGACCATTCCTTGTTAGAAGTCAATTTTTACTAATCAAAAAAATTTAGTGAAAACAAATTCATATTAATTAATATTTTATTTTAAATTATTTAAAATACAAAAAAAAGCCGAATTTAATAGTTTTTTTCGTTGACGTCATAATTTAGTACAACACAGATTTATAATTTATCGTTAAACATAAAACATTTTATATCAAGGAATCAATTATTAATGAATTAATTATTAATTAATATCTGTAATGAAATTAAAATTAAAATTTATTATAAGCTATTGATAGTTAGACTTATTTTTAGGTAATGGTAGTGTCTTGCTATTAAAACACTTATTAAATTGACATTAAAGTCTACAAATTATTTAAAATTATCACTTAAATCTTTTTTATTATTATTTTGTAAAATGAGGGTAAATAGGTGTACACACTTCCCTCTCCTGTATTAATATACCATTTAAACTAAAATATAAGTATAAGTAATTAAAAAAAAAAAAAATTTGAATAAAAATGTATAACACAAAAAACAGTGGTTTATTTATTAAAATAACATTTTTTACTTAACTTTGGGAACGGTTAACATAAAGAAAACAAATCTTATGGACAATTTTGTTTTTTAACTTATAGTAATAAACTTTAATTTAATATATATATTTGAAGCTTGTAGTATTTCCGGAACATAAACAAAAAAATTGCATTGATTCATACATTTTTAAAAAATGTATAGCAATTTAGAGTTGAAAATATAAATTATACAATTTCAACACAAAAATAACATGTATTTTAACTACATTTTTACATATAAGATAAGGTGTCAAGATAAATGTTGTTTTTCATTATAGTAAGTAACATGAGAGTAGCATACGTTTAATGCTCTGAATATTTCCGGCAGTAAAAATATTTCCCCGTAAAATACAAATGGTCAACAAAACAAAATTCAAAATAAAAAATACACTTTTTATTTCAACTTTTCACTTAATTCACTATATTCGTAGTTATGTAATCAATTTTCCATTTAGAATTTCGAAACTAAGACATGTGTATTTTACACTAAAAATAAAATGATGTAGACATGCCAGTTATGATATTTGATCAAAAATTTTATTCACTTTATTTTTTTGGGGTGTTTTTGGTTTATTTCCTAAAGCAAAAATTTTTTGTTGATTTCAAATTTTAATAGAACATTTACAAAACATTTTAGATATACAACAAAGTTAGAGGATAGTCCATTATGATTTTAATAATAAATTAATTTTGCACTACCATAATAATTATGTTATACGCATATCAATCTCATTCAAATTTGTTAAGCTATTTCAAATAGGTTAAACGATTGAACATTTTTAATGTTTTGAAATTAAAATCTAATACAATAAAAACTAATAAAAATTTTATAACACATTTATCTACCTGATTATTGAAAAAACTTATCACTTAAAAAATCTTAACACTGTCATAGAACACTTGGATGCAATAATTTATTTTATTTGTTATTTTCATACTTATTTTTTTATGTACGAAAATAGTATTAATACACTTTCGTACCTAATATAAAATATTACATTATTGTTATTTATTTAAATTTAATATTAAATATATTTAAATTTGTAATCATATATTGCTTAATTACATCTAATGATTGAGTAATTTATTTTTTGTTAGATTTTATTGAAAATTAAAAAACATTTTTGCATAGGGATTTTTTTTTATCTAAATTCTATAATAAAAAGTAAAGAGTTAAGAAATTAAGACCTTTTTTTGATTAGTATTGATTGATTCTAACAACGATTAATATTACTGTCGTTAAATTCTTCCATACGTATTTGAAAAATATGTGTAACATATCCACCAAAATTTACATGATTTTCAACTTATAGATGACAAGCCGTCGAAAATTTATTCTTTTTTTAAATCATATATTACATTAAATAGACTATAATTTGATTTAGTATTAAATGATATAACTGTTATTTTGTTTTGCAATAATTTTTTTATAGTCCTTACAGTAATTTGTTTAATTATTGGGTTTTTATAGAATTTATATTTTCGCCAAGGGAAATTTTTAAAGTAATATCAAAAAAATGTTGGTATAATTCGTCCAGTTTTCAAACATTTATTTGAAAATAAAATGAAAACTAAAAATATTAACATTGATTGTTTTATAACAATTGTGAATTTTTGGGACATATAATTTCGGAGATTAAGGAGAATTTTTCAAAATTATGTTGCTGAAATCTTCCATTAGTTATTTTTTATAAACTCTTTATGTATTTTTGAAAAAAATTAATCAGTAATTGTGGAGTTGTATAGGGACAAAAAATGACACAGCAAAGTAAGCAGATAGTTCAATTTAACTGCCTTGCATTTATATTCTTACCGTGATAGCTGTACTTTAGCTTTAGGCAAAGTACTTGGATCGTCTTTTAGAATAAATTTTCTTGTTCCCCATACATATGACTCAACATATTTTCGCCAATCCAGTTTTGATATATCAAAGTAAAATGTCTTTCGATCGTTGGGGTCTAATTCGGCAAATAGTCTCTGTACATTAGTGTTTTTAAAATGCCATTCATGAGTAGTAAAAAATTCAAGGCACGAAACAGCTTTTTGTAACTTCTTGTGAATTCTTACTAATCTAAAACAATAATGAGTAAAATTAATTATTATTAGGCATTATAATTTGTCAAATAATTGTACAATGATATTGTTAAATAAAATAAACAAAATTCGAATAATAATTTAGTAATGAATTAAATTTTTAAAATACATTTAGTCTCAAATTAATATAGAGTGAAATATTTAAGAAATACATTATTAAAGTAATTATATTATAATAATTAATATGTGTTACTTACAACCTATCTAAGAAGTTATTAAAAAAAAGGTAAATTAATTACCAACAGATTTGAAAAATTTTGTCTATTATCATCTATCAGAGGACTACCAAATTGAAAGACTGAAATTATATTTTCCTATTTGTGCCACGGAGACAAACTAATATATTTCACGGTAATTTTGCGGAAAAGCGTAGTTCTTAAACATCAGTCACCTTAAAAAACGTATGATTGTAATATATTAGATTTTAAGTTACTTTGGCTGATGTCCGGTTATTTTGGCCACTGTATCAATGGAGTACGCCGGTAAAGCTTGGAAAACAGCTACACATAAGGAGTTGAAAACTCGGCTACTCTTAAAACTACCACCCGGATACCAAACTGCATCACTGAAAGGATTTTTAATAATAAACTCATGACCAAGTGCTTCAATATCTTTCCAATAAATTGGATTTGTAGTTCCTGAAGTACAGTGATATATTTTTATAGTAGTAGGCCTAAAAATGTTATACAACAATTTCTTCAATAATTCTATTTGTACAAGTATAAATTTAAGAACAAATTAAATTTAAACTACAAACAGTATAAATTATAGAGTTCTAAATACATAGAAAACTCTAAATTAGCATTCCTAAAAATATAGTAAATTATGCAAAAATATTTTTAAAAGTGGAATAAAAATAAATTTATTATCCCTAAAATTGTTATTCTAGCTGTACCTAAGGGACAATCCAAGTCCACACTTAGCTACACAATTTCAATATTTAAATTTGTTTAAATAATTTCATTCAAAATATTTACCTATTAGTTGCTGTGTACCAGGCAGTAGATATTAAAAGGTTAATACAAATATCAACTGGAACTAAATCAGCTATGAGATCCTTGTGACATAGCAATGTTCTCAACACACCTTTACCGGCGCCAGCCAGTAAACCCGTCGGTCCATTGAGATTATCTACCCAGCCTGAAATTGGTTCTTTCCATGAAGCAGTAACTATAAAAAAAAAATTATAATAATTCAAAAAATATTAATTATTTTATAAACTTTTATTCTTTGGTTAAACTAAACCCAAATTACAACTAAAATTAAATAATTTGACAGCATCACGAATAAAATACGTCGAACTCATACATTATCTAAAATTTTTTTATAACCCAGCAATTATATTGCATTTTTGGATAAAAATTTTTCTATTTATATTCGACTTTTGAACTGAACTATACATTCCATATCAAGTTCCGTTCAAATTTCGAATTTTATTGTTTATTAATTTGTTTTATAGTATTTTATTTTGTAACAAATTGAAATTTCAAAGTTATTTTAAGTAATTAAATATATAGGGTGTTCAGTGAGTAAGGAAATGGNAGTTATTTTAAGTAATTAAATATATAGGGTGTTCAGTGAGTAAGGAAATGGGTTTCTATTGTTCTCATTGTTTGTAACAATTGACCAGTTTTTTTGCTTACTGAATACTCTGTAAATAATGAAGTGTCTAAGTAATTTGACTCACCTATTGAAGGCCTGACAATTACAATGGGTAAACCTTCACCTTGTTGTAACAGCATTTTTTCTGCTAGTGCTTTAGTAAATGTGTATGTATTCGGCCATCCCTTAATAATTCTAGAAACAAAAAAATACACAAAATTCAAATTAAATTAAATCTTAAAAATAATTTTATTTAACATTTATGGGTATTTTAATAAGTAAAACTTATCGTCGATTTCCTCGAAGAAAAAAATTTATATTTCCCATACTATATTTATTTAATGCATACGTTAACGATATAATTATGTGGGTCAACATATAATACTTGTATAGTGCATATATCACTAATTAATCTAACGTGGGACAAAAAGAATGGCCATTGTAAATTTCAAATTAATTAATTCAAGTATGTTAAAACTCACAACAAATATTTAAGACAATATATTATAAATCCATTTCATAGATTTTTATATTAGAATAATTGACAATTTCATTTCATATCAAAATAAATTTAGTCTCGTGGGGTTTGTTTGTATATCCGACAATTACTTAATGCTTAATAATAAAATTTTATTTATCGATCATTCTTCAACTTTTTTATTAGTAAATATAAAAGTAACAGCTTTATACATTGCTTGTACTACTTACTGTGGTGTTATTGATTCTAAAAGCTTTTCATCTAGACAATTAACGCACTGAACAATTTTATCAGGATCCGATGATATAGGGTACATATGTTCTTCAACTTCCTTACGGTTACAGTTGCAATAAGCAGTAGACACATGGACAAATGCCTAAAGTATAACAAATTTATCTTTTTTAATTATGCCTTTTAATACGCATGTATTTTATGTAAAATTAAAGTATTAAAAAAAGCAAGACATGTGTTAATTCTCAAAAAATAATAGTAGTAATAATAATATTTGTTTAAATTATTATTAGAATTACTTCTAATTTGTTCATTTGACGACACAACTGCATTAGTCTTTTGGTTCCCAACAAATTCATCGCCACCGATAATTTAAGTGCTTCGTCGAACTTGACAGTCGCTGCTGAGTGGAATACAACGGACACGTTATCGGTCAGAGTTTTCTGGTCTAACGTACTTATGCCAAGTTCATTTTGTGTTACATCACCGTTGATAGGTACTAATTTTTTTAAAGACTCTGGTTGATTCTTTCTCAACCAATCGAATATCTATAATAATTAATCACGAATAGTAAATAATAAAAATATATTAATGTTCAACTGAGATGTTCATAATAAACCTCTATAGCAATATTTAATTATTATCAATTACGATGTTTAGTCTAACTTAATATATATACATAAAACAATAATTAGTACTAACAAACGATACTAATTATCCTCTAAAAAACTATTTTTTATCTTGATTTATAAAAACAAAAATTATGGTATTGAAATCATATAGTAAATCGAGACCAACAAACAATTTAAAATTCAAATGGTAATTACAATCTGAATATTTTGCTTTTGAAAAAAGATTCAATTATTCTTATAATTCGATTAACTGACTGTTACGTGATTTAATCAGTCATTAATAAAAAAACTTTCTTAAAATTTACATTCCACTATAATTTCGTTCCTTAAAAAACAACCACCACCTATTTGATTTTTGCAGGAGAGCAAAAAACCGTTTTCTGTAAAATTGATAGTACTTGTCATGAGTATTTTTATTATTTGATTAGTGTGCTATCTATTAATTTTACCAAAAACCCGAGTCTTACATTGGATTCTCCGCGATATTTTACATGTTACAATGTTGCTAACTCATTCTGATTTAAATATAAGATAGGTGATGTAGCTTCGTCAACAACATTTTAATTCATGATTTTTATAAAAAAAAATTATGAAATATATATAAAACAAAAAGCAAAATTATCTAAATAAAATCAACAAAAAAATTTTAAGCTCTTTATGAAATTTTTATTTGATTTTACTTAAAATAGACTAGTGGAATCAAACACGAAAGTATATTTAAATAATGTTTATAGTTCAAAATCCAGTAAAATTTATTAAAACTCATTTACTATACTTCAGAATATTCTATAAATCTATCATATTATATAACTCAAAAACTAACAAAAGAAAAAATTCTTAATAACTATAGATCCTTTCACGAAATTGGATGAAAAAAAATTTGTTTGCTCATTTTTTGATTTTCTAATTTTCAAGAAATTTGATTTTTTTCTTTATTGATGATTTATTTACTAAACCTATTGTATAAAATTTCAATGAACAAGAATTACATTGTCTTTAAACTTAAGATGAAAATAGCGGAATACTTACAGTAGCGTTGAGTAATCCATCGACTCTAGTTCGAACATCGTGTCCTTGTTTTGACCTAATTAGCAAATATATACAAGCAACGTTTGGACATGAACGTAGCAATTTTTCAACCAAAACTTTACCCATAAACCCTGTGGCTCCAGTGATTAATACATGACGGCCTCGAAAAAAATCAGATATTGGACTGGAATTACTAGCCATGTTTCTGTAAAAAAAATGAAGTTGAAATTAAAATACCTAAAATCAAACATAACTATATTATCATGTTTTACCAGAATTAATGGTAACTACGCTCAGTGTAGCTTTAACCACACTCAGTACAAATTATCTCTTTTGAATATTTTAAATGTTAATTTATATAAACGTATAAAAAAGTTATCATCATGCGATATCAGCGACGGTGGCCATGCGGCGCAACTACACTGAACAATTCAATAAAAGGACCGTTCGACGGCTACCCCCTTACCATTAGTGCAAAATTATGAACTTACAGCAGCGTCTGTGTCGGTGCAATGACGCGCATGTGTCTCAAAAACTAGGCCTGGGAATTGAAGAACACAGCAGTGGTTCGCAAAAATTAAATTGCACTTCGCTGCAGACTACACTTTTACAGGGACCCTAATTAAAATGATATACAAGAATTACCCTGTTGAATTGCAATCATCAAGTGGTAATGATGGACTTTCGTTACATAACTTGTTATTGCTACAATCAGTTGATTTTCAATTTTTAAATCTGAAGAGACAACTAAAAGAATAAGGGCGCAGAAAAATATGACAGAAAATCTAGCTGCAGCATTAGACCGTTGTAGATTATCTGATACGGTATTTGTACAAACAACTACAGCTAAAGTTCAGAGTCATTATGTCTCGTAAGTGACTTAATCATTTTTTAATCCATCGTTTTCGTGAAATTTTTTGAAAAGGTTATGCTACTACAGTTAACACTTTTTTTTAAATCAACATCAATGCTATAACTGTTCATTGAGATGGAAAATTGCTCTCGTCATTAATAATCAATGAACTAGTTGATAGGGTACCAATAGTTATAACTTATAAAGATAAAGAAAAACTAATAAATGTGTCATCCAAAAGTGGAAAAAACCAGGTTTTAGCGGTTTATAATGCCTTAGAACAAAAGGATCTTGTAAATTTAGGCATTATGTTGTGAAACAGTAGCATCAAATGAGGGACGTCTCAAACGTGTTTGTGTAGTCTTAGAATAAAAGTTAAATTCAAATATTCTTTACATACCATATGGACATCATATTTTTTAATTAATTTTAAAGTGTGTTTTCAAAAACATAGTTCAATAATCATCTGATTCCAATGTTACTCTATTCGAAAATGTTAAATTAGTTTGGAATAAAATTAACAAAACTCAATAAAGTCAATAGATAGTACAATATAGTTCGCAAAAGAACTTAAGCAAGTGACAATTAAGAGAAGATTATCGTGAACTTTTAAAACTCACGATTATATTTTTAGTCGAAGTTCCTCCGCCTATTATTTACAATTTCAAGATATTGAAATATTAATCAACATGTATATTGAAAACTTCATTATTACTGAATCAATTAATTTTTTTAAACGTTTTAATTTAAACATGGTTTTTTAAACCTAGATTATAGTTTGTGAGAACATAAGACCATAAAAACAGGATTGACATCGTAAATAAATTAAAAATACAGAGATGTCCTAATAGCAACGTCAAAATTCATAAAATAAGGACCACCCTATTACACATTCATTCGAACATAATGTACGATAATTATTTGCATAAACAGTAATGTCTAACAATATATTGTAATTGGAGGAAAAGAAAAATTAAAAATCTATAGAATAATTTTAAATAAATAATAAGAAAACGACAATGACAAGAATTGTAATATGTGCTTTTATCAACTGGACTACTACTATTTAATAGAAAACTCAATGGCTTTATTTACTTATTTATTATTTAAATAATTATTTACATTTAAATAATGCACATAAAATATTTATTAACAAATAATTTTTACTAGTTGAACTAGAAAAATTCAAATAAATTATTTTATCTCAATTTATAAAATAAAAAATTTTTATTTTATTGCTTAGTATTATATTTGATTTTTTTTTTGTAGAAATCAATTTTCTATTAATACAGTTATGAAAATTATTAAAATACCTATCAACTTTAATATAGATGTAATATATATTTTACTTATACATTAACAAAAATAACTGTTTTATTGATAAATTAGAATTTTTTTTCAATTTTTGAGTGTAATATCTTCAACTAGATACGAATTGTAATCATTTGACGTATCGTTGAAAAACGTAGGTCAAGTGAGGGTTGGCAAAATAAATCGTAGTCACAAAAAAAAACACATAGTAAAATAATATTAACACGAATAAGAAATATTTTCTCATGAGTCTAGAGTGATGGGATCCTTGATATTTATTGAATGTAAATGAGATAAAATCAAATAATTTCAAAATTTTTTCTAACTCAAAAAATTCAAAATATAAATTGCCACAGGCGGATTCGAACCTCGTACCCTAAGTGACACAAGTGTTACCAATTCCGCAACTATTTGTCGCTATCGTCGAATGATAAAATTGGCAATTTTAGCTAATTCAAATTTTAAAGTTACTTTTTCGAAAAAATGTGAAAAAAATGTCGAAATTACCGTTTTATTCATTCAATTTTAAAACAAAGATAGCATTTTTTTAACTACGGTAACCATTTTCACATAGAAGATAAGTCTTCGGGATAATTCTTTTTTAACTTTACCGTTTTTATAAATCGTAATTTTTCAGGGGATATTCACTAAGATTTAAAAATAGTATGTCGAATGAAAGATGTATATAAATACTACTTCTCATGAAAAAATTATATTGATCCATACATTTTTCAAAAAGTTATAGCATAATAAAGTTAAAAATGTAAAATACAAAATCGAAAATTTTCACACAAAAATAGCATTCGATAGCCATTTTCACCGTTAAGATAAAATAAAGTCCGAAATTTTTTTTTGCATAATAAATTATATTACATTAGCTTTAATTTAAGATATATATAAAAGTGTCAGACTTTCCGGAACACTTTCAAAAGTTAAGTTGAAAAAATTAATTTTTTGTAAAAAAGTTGTCATTTTAAATCCCCCCCGTGGGCAGGTAAATTTCAGTCAGATTTATAAAAAAAATATACCAAATGATAGGTAAAGACATCATGCATCTATAAAAAAAATAATTTTATTGATTTGGTTATTTTTAAAAAAGTTATGAAAATTTTAAGTAAAAAAAATTTCAAAAATTTCGAAAATTAGCGTTTTTTAAATTTGTAATTTTTTTGGAGGTTTCCCCCATTTACGGGGAACGAGGGATTTTTTTTCAATTATTAAGGGTAATTTCTTTAACTAGATACGATTTGTGATCTTTTGATGTACTGTTGATGAAAAACGGTTCAGTGAGAGCTGAGAAAAAGTAGTAACAGACACAAAAAAAAATAAACACATCATGGTAAAATTAATACCTTCTCAGCTTTTGCATCAAAACTAAAATTGAAAAAAATTTTGAAAAAATTACTGATTTTTAAAATTGTAATTTTTTGGGGATTTCCTCCATTTACGGGAAACAAGGGAATTTTTTTAAACTTATGAGAATAATTTCTTCGATTAGATACAATTTGTGATCTTTTGACGTATTGTTCATCAAAATCGGTCCAGTCAGAGCTGAGATTGAGTGATAACAGACGCAAAAAAAATAATAATAAAAAAACACATCATATTAAATCAATAACTTCTCAGCTTCGCATCGAAGCTAAAAACCTAGTTCTTTATTATCTTAAATATCATGATATATATTTACAACTTTTATGTAGACTATCATATATACTATAATTCGTGGATATTTATAAAAATAGTCTAAGCAATTTTTCAATATATTAGAACAATTTTTAATTTTATGTACAAGTTTGTATGGTTTTAATTTTCAATTGGATGATAGTAAATTTAGAAGAAGAATGTAATCACTTTTAAGTGTTTTCGTAATAGGCAGTGTTAGGACGGATATATCAACAACTAAAATCTAAATGAATTGGAAACTTATTAAAAAAAACATTAAAACGAAATTGTTTACCGGACGCATAATTCAATTATAATTATTTCAAAACAACATACATATATATAATATATGATACCTACCAGAGATTTGTAGAGTGATAAAATTTTGTACGATAAAAACAATAACATAATTATTTTTACGTTAACTTGATAACTCTTTTGATCATAAATACTAACGTATATTTTTAGTATTTTTCGTTAAGTAAAACTAATTTTTAATAAAATTAAAATACAATTAAATTTTGTTTTTTTTATAGGTTGACAGATTTTTGAAAAATAATAAGTATTATTATTGCACATCGTTGTTTCTAATGCGAAAATGCATATCTCGAGATTATTTTTTAACAGGAAGAGTGCACTATTTTTGAATAACTAACAATAGAAATAGGTTATTTTAAAAACTACACTATCTCAATAAATAATAAAAATTATTTCAAATTTATTTCAAAAACTCTTAAAATATTAATATGTATTTTTCAATAAACATCTCAATTTTTTTAATTACATGACAAGTATACGAGTTAACATACAAATTAATTGATTTTTTGAAGTTTAACGAAATTTCTTCAACTTAACTGTTAACTTAATTTATTTTGAAAACATAACAAATTAATGTTAACTATTAACTCATTAATGTGGATTTAACACATTCAATTTTATTTAGACAAATACATTTGTGCAAATTAAGATTCACATAAGTATGAGTCTATACGTTTTAAATTTTATAAATTTTGTACACAATTATTGGGTTTAATCACAGTTTAAGTTATTCAGTGTTATCAACTATTTGAAAGAATAATAGTACCCAAATATAACAGAAAAAAATTTAAATCTCATTTAAACCTTACACTTTTATCTTTTATTTAACTTTAACATTGTATCGTAGTTTGTCTTACATGCCGTTTATGTAAAATATTATATGCATACAAATTTTTATTCTCATGCGATTACCATAGTAAATAGAAAGATACGCGTTTATATAAAGGAGATTGATAAGCGTAGTATTCAAATGTTTTGGGGGTTTACATTTAATTTTCCTTCCTGCAAAAAGTTATTTTTATATAACAATGCATTTAATATTGATAAGTTTCTGGGATGCT